ACCCTTCACAGTGCCCCTTCCACCTCTACTCCCTCTCTCCCTTACCTCCCTACCCTTCCTTTCTACCTTTCCCCCCTTTTCTCGACCCTCCCTTCATTTCTCTCTCCCTTCTGAAAAGTAGATGTTTCTGGCAGTTTATATCAATTTTGAAAATTAACACAGATTTCCAATTGATCTTGATAAGACTTCGTCAAAGTTATATATTTTACCAACCACTTGTATCTTTATCTAGAAGTTTATATATACCACTAGTCACTACCATGTTATCTAATTCTAATATATTCTCATTCTTTGATATTAACAGGAGAAGAAGTTGGAATGGTTTCCGAGGATGTGTGCCATGTCTCTGAAGGCTGAAGAGAGTGATGGGGAGACAAATGAACTGAGGAATCTCCAGGCTCAACTTGACGGCACCAATAAATTGGTGAAACTTCTGTCTTCTCAGTTATTAGATCTTAAAGAACAGGTAGGAATTAATTATCTTATTTTGTACTTTCAGATATTTTATAATTTGCTACTTTTCAGTTATTATACACCCACATTAAAATGTTGCTGTATTTTGCTGTTGCTGTTATTTGTTGGCACATATTACCTTGCGTAGCATGCTTTGTTTTTCTGTCGTTCCTGAAAAGATTTATTCCAGTTGAAAGTGTAGTAGCCTATAGTTAAACTTTGTTAAACATTATGATTTAAGGATTATTCATGATCTGTTTTGTTTTATTTTTATTTCTAAGAAAATTTGTGAGAATTCAGCGATATCTGATGCTAAACTAGAACCTTTTGAAAAGTTTAACAGTTTATAATGATAGTTTGTTGTATGCAGGGTAAAGCTTAACAGTTTATAATAATAGTTTGTTGTATGCAGGGTAAAGTTTAACAGTTTATAATAATAGTTTGTTGTATGCAGGGTAAAGTTTAACAGTTTATAATAATAGTTTGTTGTATGCAGGTTAAAGTTTAACAGTTTATAATAATAGTTTGTTGTATGCAGGGTAAAGTTTAACAGTTTATAATGATAGTTTGTTGTATGCAGGTTAAAGTTTAACAGTTTATAATAATAGTTTGTTGTATGCAGGTTAAAGTTTAACAGTTTATAATAATAGTTTGTTGTATGCAGGGTAAAGTTTAACAGTTTAAAATGATAGTTTGTTGTATGCAGGTTAAAGTTTAACAGTTTATAATGATAGTTTGTTGTATGCAGGGTAAAGTTTAACAGTTTATAATAATAGTTTGTTGTATGCAGAGTAAAGTTTAACAGTTTATAATGATAGTTTGTTGTATGCAGGGTAAAGTTTAACAGTTTATAATAATAGTTTGTTGTATGCAGGGTAAAGTTTAACAGTTTATAATAATAGTTTGTTGTATGCAGGTTAAAGTTTAACAGTTTATAATAATAGTTTGTTGTATGCAGGGTAAAGTTTAACAGTTTATAATAATAGTTTGTTGTATGCAGGTTAAAGTTTAACAGTTTATAATAATAGTTTGTTGTATGCAGGGTAAAGTTTAACAGTTTATAATGATAGTTTGTTGTATGCAGGGAAAGTTTAACAGTTTATAATAATAGTTTGTTGTATGCAGGGTAAAGTTTAACAGTTTATAATAATAGTTTGTTGTATGCAGGGTAAAGTTTAACAGTTTATAATAATAGTTTGTTGTATGCAGGGTAAAGTTTAACAGTTTATAATAATAGTTTGTTGTATGCAGGGTAAAGTTTAACAGTTTATAATAATAGTTTGTTGTATGCAGGGTAAAGTTTAACAGTTTATAATAATAGTTTGTTGTATGCAGGGTAAAGTTTAACAGTTTATAATAATAGTTTGTTGTATGCAGGGTAAAGTTTAACAGTTTATAATGATAGTTTGTTGTATGCAGGGTAAAGTTTAACAGTTTATAATGATAGTTTGTTGTATGCAGGGTAAAGTTTAACAGTTTATAATGATAGTTTGTTGTATGCAGGGTAAAGTTTAACAGTTTATAATAATAGTTTGTTGTATGCAGGGTAAAGTTTAACAGTTTATAATGATAGTTTGTTGTATGCAGGATAAAGTTTAACAGTTTATAATAATAGTTTGTTGTATGCAGGTTAAAGTTTAACAGTTTATAATAATAGTTTGTTGTATGCAGGGTAAAGCTTAACAGTTTATAATGATAGTTTGTTGTATGCAGGGTAAAGTTTAACAGTTTATAATAATAGTTTGTTGTATGCAGGGTAAAGTTTAACAGTTTATAATAATAGTTTGTTGTATGCAGGGTAAAGTTTAACAGTTTATAATAATAGTTTGTTGTATGCAGGTTAAAGTTTAACAGTTTATAATGATAGTTTGTTGTATGCAGGGTAAAGTTTAACAGTTTATAATAATAGTTTGTTGTATGCAGGTTAAAGTTTAACAGTTTATAATAATAGTTTGTTGTATGCAGGGTAAAGTTTAACAGTTTAAAATGATAGTTTGTTGTATGCAGGGTAAAGTTTAACAGTTTATAATGATAGTTTGTTGTATGCAGAGTAAAGTTAAAAACTGAATGATATATTTATATTTACAGATGACAGAACAGCGAAAACAGAAACAGAGAATGGGTATTCTACAACCACCTGCTTTTCCTATTAATCAAAGTGTCTAGACCAGGGATGTTGATTCAGCTGTATTTACCAGTCATGTCGGACTAGAGCTCTAAACTGTTGATTATGTTCACCAGTCATGTCTGATTAGAGTTCTAGACTTTCGATTCAGCTGTATTAACCAGTCATGTCTGACTAGAGCTCTAGACTGTTGATTTGGTTGTATTTACCAGTCATGTCTGACTAGAGTTCTAGACTTTCGATTCAGCTGTATTTACCAGTCATGTCTGACAACAGAGTTAGATATGTTAACCTTCCCAAGGGTAGTTGGCCATATTTACCAGTCAGATCTGGATGATTTGTTGATTGAGTATAGTATTTGAAGCTCTGACTGACTAATAAAAGACCATATTTCTTGACATTCAAGATGACAGTCAAGGTCAAGGTCAAGGGATGTCAAATAGGTGACGGTCACTCTCTATCCTGTCTTGTTGAGTCAGGTATAAAAAAATAAATATATCCTCTGAAATGACCCTAGGAAACAGATCACTGCCTTTGATAAATATCACATCTATATTTTGATATCTGCAACTACAATTTGCATTTGAAAAGTGGAAGAGAATTTGCAATAAAAAGAGTAATTGCTCTAGTTTTAGTCATTGTTCAAATCAAAATTTTTTCCATCATTTATTTTCCCAAATTTTTCAGATTTTTGCTTTTTGTAGATAATATTATTTAGAAGAATATATGAAACGTAACATCGACATTGGCATTGTAATTAGATTTAGACCAATTTCCTTCCTCCTTCAATACATGCCCCTCTCCCTCACCCTCAATATATACCCCCCACCCCCAATACTTACCCTTACACTACCCCTGTTTAATCATTGTATATGGTGCTATAACTGACTTGTGTTCTATCATCAACATATCATATTCTAAATACCACTGTCATAATTTATATAGTGTTTAGTTTCAAATTAATTTCATTAAAGATGGGTTTCCTTATTTTTAGTGTCAAATTCAGCAAACTTTTTGATTAATTGGTGTTTCTAGTTAATTATCATGTATTCTTAATCATATCATTATGTTCTTATTGCATATATTTAAGAGTTTTAATGTTTAATGTTTTTTATGTCCATGTCTGGTAATTATCTTCTAATTTAGCTAATTATGAATTAATTGTGGACATGTGAGACAAACTGGTATTTTTCCAAGTCATTGGAACACCTCTACTTTCTATTCATATAAGTATTAGCATTTTCATTTTCATAAATGAAAACAAGGGAACCCATCTTTAATGTGATCACTGGATTATGAGTTGGGAATAGACCAGGTAAGGTGTCTGTTGATGTATTATGATACTGTAGAAATAGAAGAAACAAGAAAGATGTGATATAGGCCAGTGTGATATACGAACATGACTAGCTTCTATATTCTACTGTATCAATAATCCCACACTAGACATCGTGTTTTATCTATTCCCATCTTTAGTTTGATTATTAATATCAAACATTCTGTTATTCTGTTGGTGTTTTTAGAAAGAATTATTATGATTTGATTAAAATTTCATGATTTGTATTTCTTCAGTAAATGTTAATTGGTTTAATTAATTAATTAATTTCTAAAAACTGATGTAAAAAATCATGCTGTATTAGCTGGTATGGTGAAAAATTACATCAATCAACAAATTTGGCTTCATATAATTGTAAATCGTAAAAAAACACTATCTTGGTTTTAGAAGTCTAGAAATCCAACCAAACTATATTTAATTAATATCAAGATCTGATCTGATTGTTTTCTGTTCCTTTTTTGTTTTTTTTTGCCCATTGAAAAATCAAAATTGTTATGAATTATATTATAATTGTTGTTTATATTTTAATTAGATTAATTATAACCCAGAGATAATAAAATTTGGACAGTCTTGTGATATAAATAATTATAACATTAAAGGAATTCTACTTCTTAGATTTCACTTAAAATTTTAATTCAAACTTAGTTGAAAAGAGTCTTTGTTTATCAGTGGACTTACTTGGTGTAATAATTAAACAGAATCTCTGTTTAATCAGGTAAATCAATGATTTTCAATTATATTTCTGTTCTAAGAGGTAGAACTCTTTTAAATATATCTTTTCAACATGAGTATATGTTATTCAAATTAGGTAAAAAAAGTCCCCCTAGTTTCATTGGCTAAAAGTGTGCTAAACATCCATCAATACTCACTATTCCTTCAAAATCAAAGACTGACTATTTCTCCAAAATCAAAATTGATAAAATCAGTTGATTTAAATTGTTTATTCATGATATTGAAAAACTTCCACCGCAGGCATTAAGTTGTTGTATTATGATCTATAGCTGTCCAAGTTTCTGATATTATTTATATATAGATGTAATATATTTCTTTTTATTTAACCAAATATTATTATATATATATATATTTCTTTTTATACCAATTGTAAATGGATCTCAGTCAAGTATAGACTTAAAGTGACAGATGCGCCATTTTGGGGGATTGATTTTAGTCTTGAATATATGTAAATAGTCTTCAGAAGTACTAGAAATGTATGAAAATCGCATAATTCCTTATAAAATACTTCAAACTAGGAATTTTTACTCATTATTTCTTAAAGCTTATATGTCTCTTCTATATATCACAGAGTATCTTAAATTGACGAGTCTTCATTTTAACATTCAAACACTGACACACATGGATTTAAAGGCTCAAATTTGGACGCTGAGCTGTGAAAACTATTACTGATTGGCTTAGTAAAAAAATTCCTGTTTCTGAGACTAAAGTATGATTGGTCAAAAAAGAGGCGCATCTGTCCCTTTAAAGGTTTTTTTTCTATAGAATTAACAGAATGTAATTCAGTTTCAAACTTCCTCTATTATTTGTCAATATACTTAAAGGTTAGAAATTGGTTTTCATACTAAATGAAGGGTTAAGGTCAGTTTTTAATGTCAATTTATGGATATATAAGTTGTTTACAACCACTTTAAGGCTATGGGTCATTGTTTTATTTCTATACTACTGAGGTCTAAGCCTTTTTACCATTCTACTTAATAGATGTTGGTTGGCTTCCAGTGGGTCTAAATACCTTTACTGCTTAGATCTAACCCTAGACCTAATCCTACTTAATAGATGTTGTTTAGCTGCCAGTGGGTCTAAATACCTTTACTGCTTAGATCTAACCCTAGACCTAATCCTACTTAATAGATGTTGTTTAGCTGCCAGTGGGTCTAAATACCTTTACTGCTTAGATCTAACCCTAGACCTAATCCTACTTAATAGATGTTGTTTAGCTGCCAGTGGGTCTAAATACCTTTACTGCTTAGATCTAACCCTAGACCCTTTCTACTTAATAAATCTTTCAAGATGTCATCTACCTATCACCTATCTAAAACTTTTATTTCAATTTATATGTTCATGTGAGTTTTTCCCGTTTCATTTGGACCAATAATTATCATCATACCAAAACCATTGAAAATTACCATTTTTGTTCACTTAGATTTAAATTTTGACCTATTCTTTTTGTATTTTTAATTCATGTTAAAATAGAAATTTTTTACAATAGAATCGAAATATATCAGGAAAAAATAGAAAAGAAATTTTTAATCTTCAAATGTAGTTGATTCAAAGAAAAAATTGAAGTTACTATCCACCTTTCATATAGTGAAATATAAAGTTAGTTGTAATTTGTTAATATTTTGTATTTGTTAATATTTTGTATTTGTTAATATTTTGTAATTGTTAATGTTACTATAATTGTATAGATGTTATTCTTTATTCAACTTTGTCTGTTTCTAATTAGAGATAAAATCTTTTATACTTCTATAATCTTCTTGTCTTTTTTCTGGAAACTTGAAATAGAGTTTAACATCACTTTGTGGTTTGAGCCAATGGACAAAGGGTATGCCATGCGATGTTACAGGTGAAAGAGACATATTTCTCCAAATTGGAGCAAATTTGGGATCTTTTTGTCTTTTTCTTTCTGTAACTTTGATTGGAGTTTTACGTCTTTTGTGATAAGCCAATGATCAGAAGACAATGCCATGTAGAGGGAAATTTCTCTCCCAATCAGTGAAAACTTTGAGTCTTTATTCCAACAGGCAAAATAGTGGCGCTTTTCTTTATTTTCCGTTAAACTCTCTCTATAATATCACTGAAAATACTAGGGAAAATATCCGCTTTTGCGTGGATTAACAATATCCAATCATAGTAATTCCACATTTTAGTTATTTCTTTAATATACTAGCTATACATAGTCAATTTATTTGAATTTCCTAAATATGATACATTACTTGATTTGCGTACCGGTTTCTGGCAGATACATACTGATATGTATTATTGCCTTTTTAACTTGTCTCAAGTAAGTCAAGCTGGTCAGAGTAGGAGTTTCGTCCCTTTTTTTTTTTACAAATTTCCTGTCTTAACAAAGAATAAGTTAATAGAAAATAAACTTTATTGAAATATAAAAATTGTGCCATTAATTTCATAATACAGATTAGACAAATATATATAAAAAAAACATTTCAGCAAGCAATCAACTTCCGGTTAAATAAATACAAAGCTACGATTTCCTTTAATAATATATTTTTATAAAGATACCAAAAAATAAGATTATCTGAAAGAGATATGAAACTTTAAACAGGCTATTACTTCCTTCGTTATCCTTCATGTTAAAACCAAAATTCATTTTACAATACAACGTATTAACATAAATAGATATATTACTGATCAGTCTCATTATAATTAGATCAAACTTTCAGTCCGTTTTTTATTAACTTTTATTTTAAATATAGCCACTTCAGTTAGGGCCTAACGACAATCTCTTGAACGTTCGTCATTAAGCTTTTGATCTAACTCGTCTGATATTTGCTTTAACCAATCAAATTCTTATCCTCTGCAGAGCTGGCATTTTGTGACGCGGTGTTTATCAGGTTTGGTCAAAAGGTTAATTTGACGAACGTTCAAGAAAGATGTCGTTAGACCCTAACTGAAGTGACTGTATTAAAAAATAAAAGCTAATCTTATTGGGGATTTATAGACAGGACTAAGTCATAATTTCTGTTTTATAAAGCTCGTACAAACTCTTCCTATTAATATTGTAAAAATTTGCAAATTGATTAGTTTGAATAGACAATTAATTTCGGTGCATTTAACATACTAAAAATAATAAATGAAATGAAATGAATGGAGTTTTACGTCCTTCTCTTCAGCTCCTATGATGAACATGGTAAATACAGGGAATATTATGCAATCACTTTTATACCATACCATACCATACTATATAGCAAGTTATAGTATATATAAGTGAAGTAATGTGATTGATAATGGCTACCTGAGATATAACGCCACTTAGTAATTGTAATACATTGTAATATATGCATTGGGGTTTACTTTTGGATTGCCTTGTTAACGAGGTATGGTAGAGGTATAGCTAGTGTGTAGGGGGTAGCCAGAGAGGCATATTTCATGGAATAAAGAGCTTGTGAGACATATAGTTTAGTAAGGCATAGTTAAACAATGAATAATAATGGTCAAAGAGGCACGGTTAACGGAGTAGGGTGTTTGTGAGACATATATTGTTGAAATAGGCACAGTTTGGGTTATGTAATTAATGAGGCATCAATGTGTGAAGGCATTGGTAACGATGGTGATGGTACAGTGTGAAACGCCCTCCTCACTCTCAGTCTGCCCAAATATCCTTAAACACGTTAACGCTTCCTGCTTCCTATAGGTTTAGTCTTGTCATTTCCAACAAACAAAACTGGAACGTTATGCCTCTGGTGGAAGTTTGGCCACATCAAAATGCTTGATATTTCTCCGTCTTAAAACAGGCGTGTCGGTCCCAGAGTAAAATCCGCCATACCGTTCTCTCCATAATAAAATAACAAACCACAGGGACACGATACTTCCTAATAAACACAGTCCTCCTATAACAAACAGATACAGCTTAATTTCCCAGTGGACGAATTCACAAGTCTCTATGTAGGAGTAGAGGAAGACTCTATAGTCAGTGTTAAAACATTCACACCTGGAGACATTATACCGACACCTACTGTAGGTGTAAATTCTACCCAGGTGTATACCGGGAAATACACAGGCTATCAGGTTGACGAATATGGCGATGATGGAAAATATAAAACACATTGCCTGCAATATACAATAGATTGCTAATATAAAATACAAAATTTCCCTCATTGCACCCTGCATGGCGTTGCCCGTCTTCATTAGCCAACATGGTTCAGAAAAGTAGAACGAAAAACTCCATTTCATTTTTTTTTAAATGACGCCTTTATTTCCAACTTTTATATTTTACCACTTTTTGGGCGAATGGAATATCATTAGTCTTACATGGTACATTTTACACCACAAACTTGAAATAAAACAGAGGTTGACGTCCTACTTGTCTTTCTCTATTTTAGAACATTAGAAAAGCGAGATTTACCACTCACTGTTCTTCAAATTATCTTGATAAGCATACTACAGATATTGACTTTCAGTACAAAAATGTTTTTGGGTTAATTTAGTCTAAACTTTCTGACAGAAGATCGAAGAAATACACTATACAACCTTTCATAGGAAGTAATAAGATGTAGGAAGAGAATTTCATGCATTCTTGCCGGTGTATGAATCGACGATAAATTATTTGAAGTAGTAGGGGAGAGTAGTACATGCTGATTCTCTAATTGGTGATCAAAATAACGTCATTTTCCCTACTTGTATTCTCTAACCATTCAATGTTCTCTAAAGAATCTAGCTACTATTTTGATTTGGTTCTGAGTTGTTGAAACGTGAAACAGTTTGTGTGTTCTACAGACATCCCGGCGACAAGAGGAATCTAATATTCTTAGAGCTAGATTGTTGTTACTCTTATAAACTGTTAATCTTCGTCTTGATCCTACCAACCCCTAGCACGGGGGTGTTCAACCTTTTCCTATCCATTACCTCTTTCAGGATCGACTTAAATTATAACTGTCCAAAAATTTTATGCTATACTAAAAATCGTCTCATTCCCCAATTTTCAAAAATATCTCCTTGGGGGTAGTTTTAAACAGGTTGAAAAACCTGCTCTAGCTAGTAGCTATTTGCTAGGCATCGAATCCCAGCCTTGGGATCACAAAAGTTTGTATTGAAGGTAGTGGGGATGGAATCTTTTACGAGACTTATCGAGCTTTGGACTATTTCTACCTACCTTGAGAAAGCAGCCTCTACCTGTCTCGGTTGCTATGGAAATATTCACACAACAAAAACATACTCCTATTAAACCGGCTAATAGTAACTGAAAGTAGAAAATAGACAATTACTAGGTTTTTAGAGTAAACACGAGTATGGTGGCATACTTTTTATTTTTATCATGTTATAACTAGGCCTATCTGTCAGCGATGCAGGGGATACCTGAAAAGCTTTTAGAACTATTTTTAAAATATAATGTTTTATTCAATTCTAGTTTGCTCGACATATCAACTCTTCAAAATTTTCGCGAAAACCAGGGAGTTTGCGAAAACACCACTTGTCTGCCCGAGACAGGATAATATTGGGGGGTGGGGGTATGACGGCTATGCTTGCCTATCACCAGCAAAAATACAAACCTAAACCCACAGCTTTATCTTAAATATACCGTTACATGTTTTATAGACAAAATAACACAAAAAACAGAATGGTTAATAAAATAAGATTTAAAGTAATTTCCCTCTCAACTATAAATATTACCTAAATTATAAATATCATAAAATCTCCTCCTTATATCAAATATATAATCTATAACACATTCATTCGTTAATATAACTTTATAAAACTTGAACAGCGAGCTTCAGAATTTCCAAACATTTTGTTCATTAGGTAGAAGATAAGCTTCAAAGCTATCTTTATAGTAATTTAAGTATTAGGTTTATCAGCTGATAGAACTCAATTTCAGCTATCTGTATAGTCATCTAAATATTCACTTTACCAGCTGATAGAGCTCAATCTCAGCTATCTGTATAGTCATCTAAATATTTACTTTACCAGTTGATAGAACTCAATTTCGGCTATCTGTATAGTCATCTAAATATTTACTATACCAGCTGATAGAGCTCAATTTCAGCTATCTGTATAGTCATCTAAATATTCACTTTACCAGCTGATAGAGCTCAATCTCAGCTATCTGTATAGAGAACTCAATTTCAGCTATCTGTATAGACATCTAAATATTTACTTTACCAGTTGATAGAGCTCAATTTCAGCTATCTGTATAGTCATCTAAATATTTACTTTACCAGTTGAAGGAACTCAATTTCAGCTATCTGTATAGTCATCTAAATATTTACTTTACCAGCTGATAGAGCTCAATTTCAGCTATCTGTATAGACATCTAAATATTTACTTTACCAGTTGATAGAACTCAATTTCAGCTATCTGTATAGTCATCTAAATATTTACTTTACCAGCTGATAGAAGCTCAATTTAGCTATCTGTATAGTCATCTAAATATTTACTTTACCAGCTGATAGAGCTCAATTTCAGCCATCTGTATAGTCATCTAAATATTTACTTTACCAGCTGATAGAGCTCAATTTCAGCTATCTGTATAGTCATCTAAATATTTACTTAACCAGTTGATAGAACTCAATTTCAGCTATCTGTATAGACATCAAAATATGTACTTTTCCAGCTGATAGAGCTTAATTTCAACTATCTGTATAGTCATCTAAATATTTACTTTACCAACTGATAGAGCTTAATTTCAACTATCTGTATAGTCATCTAAATATTTACTTTACCAGCTGATAGAGCTTAATTTCAGCTATCTGTATAACATCTAATTATTTATTATACCAGCTGATAGAGCTCAATTTCAGCTATCTGTATATTCGTCTAAATATTTACTTTACCAGATGATAGAGCTCAATTTCAGCTATCTGTATAGACATCTAAATATTTACTTTACCAGCTGATAGAGCTCAATTTCAGCTATCTGTATAGACATCTAAATAGTTACTTTACCAACTGATAGAGCTCAATTTCAGCTATCTGTATAGACATCTAAATATGTACTTTACCACCTGATAGAGCTCAATTTCAGCTATTTGTATAGACATCTAAATATGTACTCTATCACCTGATAGAGCTCAATTTTAGCTCTCTGTATAGTCATCTAAATATCTACTTTACCAGCTGATAGAACTCAATTTCAGCTATCTGTATAGTCATCTAATTATTTACTTTACCAACTAATAGAGCTTAATTTCAAAAATTAGAGCTCAATTGTCGTAAGAGTCGAAAGCTATATCATGTGCAAAAAATTAAAGAACATAATTGTATTATTTAAATATTCCTTCAATCGCCACAAACTAAGATCGGAATCAAATCTATAATCTAATGGAAGGCAATAACATAACTTGAATATTTGATTTCTCTTAATGTGTTATATCTGTGTTAAAACTAATTCATTATCAAAAGTGTCGAAAGCTATATCATGTTCCATAAAATTAAGAACACAATTTTAAATGTTCGAATGTTCCTTAACACAAAATAGTTATAATCGACTCGAAGCCGATATCATGTTCCATGAAATAAAGGACACTGTTAGAATTTCTCTTAATGTGTTAGTTATACCTGTGTAAAATGCTACCCATTATCGTAAGTGTTGAAAGCTTATCATGTTCCGTGAAATGAAAAACATCACTTAAATGCTCTTTTCATCGCCTACAAGTTGGAACCACTTTCTGCCTGTCAGATGATCGTGGTGCCGTGAAAATAAAAACCACGTGTATCAAACAGTGGGCAGGCAGCCAGAATTTCTACTCTATTTATTCAGCATGGTTCTAATTCTTCACTCTAAATTCCTTACTTCTGATTTCATACTAGGTAAATATTTCTACAAGTTATTCAAAGAATTAGTTTCAGGTTTTTGAGTTCAAATACAAGAACGTCTTTTAATGACACGCCTCTTTTACAATTCCGGGACACCTAATGTCACTGACTTTGACTACAACCAATGGAAAAGTCTTGTCTTTAGAAGCCAGTGGCGTTGCTAGGAAACATAAGTTGATAGGGGCGAGATGGTGCCACAAATTTTTCCAGGGGGGGGGGGGGGGCTATTCCTTCACAATTGATATATAGTGTGGGGGCAAAAGCAGGGCCAGTCCCTTTTCGGGGGGCCACAACCGTTATTACTGTAACGGTATGATTAAAGAGACGGACCATGTTTACTCTTCTCGAACACCTGATGTCCTCTCCAACTCAACGTGTCATTTTGACATCTCTTTCAGAGTAATAAAACAAACAATATGTATTATATTTTATATTTAAGTCACGGGACAACTACAGAAAGTAATTCGGGTGTAGATTGTATAATAAAATGTCAAAATATTCTAAAATATTTCAAAGAGATTGTTTCAATCTCGACTGAGATATAATTTTTTAGCAGCCTGACTGGAAAAGTAATTAGTTGTTTAGTTAGCCTGTTTGAATAGGACATTTTTGTCACGACTTTCAACAAAGGACTTTTTTGATGTTAAAAATCAAAGGACGGGAGCTCGACTGAGCTAAGTTAGTAGGGAGGGGAATTTTCGTTTGTATGAAGTTATATTCCCCCCTAACCCCAATCCTTGCAGTAATAATCGCATTTTTTTCAATCATTAGATTAGAGGGCCTCGCCTGTATAATCATAAGAAATTTTAATTTGGGAGGGAAGACAGGGGGTCCCCCCAGGTCATCCTCGTTTTAAACATGAGGGCCCCCCCCCCCCCCCCCTCGTTAAAAAACGCCTCTGTCCAGTAAGTAATTAACCAGATGGTGCTAGGGATATCTATGTCGGGATTTATTTACAATGAAAACAAGATATCGTGTGTTTTTATTATTTTATCTGGATCTGGTTTAATCTTTCACCTTTAATTTATCATCAACAGATCTCTCAGTCGGTTTCAGACCAGAAAATATATATTACTTATATCTGATAACTGATATCTGACCATTAAAGAGACAGGTTGCTCTTTTTGGATGTTGATTTGGGTTTTGAATATATGTAAATAGCCCCCAGAAAAGACGAGACGTCATTTTAAATTTTTAAAGCGGGTAATTCTGGATACACATGGAATTGAATGCTCCAATTTTAATAGTGAGCTGTGAACACTATTACTGATTAGCTTAGCTAAAAAGAAAATTCCCGTTTCTGAGATAAAAAAGTCGATTGGTCAAACGGAAGGCGAACCTTAAGATGGTCTCAAGTCGACTGGCGATCCGAAGTGTCTCAACAGATCTATCACCATCGACATGATCAACAATCTTATCAAAAATTGATTCCGATTCTGGAAGCAACTAGCGACAATTATAATTTTGGAATCGTCGTTGCGTTCATGTTGGCTATCCCCTATCCCTAGATGTCATGTGTATCGACATCTTCACAATATGAAACTAATCTACACATCGTCTTATACCTTGACTGTAATGTAATCTGATTATTTAATCAAGGTGGGTCCACGTCGACTTCAAAAAGCCCAAAAGCGTCACAATAGATCTGTTAGTGTCGACATGATCACAAAATTGAGCAACTTCTAGCGATTCCAGATTCTGATTAATCTCCGGGCAACTAGTCACATTGAATTGATGGGAAGTCGAACATGAACAACTGACAGCAGCTGGTGGTAACCTAGTCTAAAACATCTGTCTCTATCTCAGCCTCTGATATTTTGACAGTTATCGGCTGGACAAGACCAGATAGAGGCAGATGTTTCGGTCTAGTGGTAATTAGTATTTTACAGGCGTTGGTTTGCAGGTTCGCTAAGATTAGCTGAATCAGAATTGATCAATCCATCAGAACCTCCTTCAGTTTCTGTCAGTTGCCATCAGTTTCTGCCAGTTGCTGTAAGTTGCCGTCAGTTGCTGTCAGTTGCCGTCAGTTGCTCTAGCGGCCATCAGTTGTTGTCAATTACTGTCAGCTGCCGTCAGTTTTTGTCAGTCGTTGTCAGTTGTTGTCAGTTGTTGCCAGTTACCGCAAGTTGCTGTCAGTTGTTCTCAGTTTCCGTAAGTTGTTGTCATTTGCTGTCAGCCTCAAGACACGGAATGTGCTCGATAAACAGTTTGTTGTCCAGTGATTTCTTCTAAATAACTCAAACATATATCCAGATATTTGAAACACATATTGTTGATATGGTCAGCACCTAGGCATCAGGAAATACATTCAAGTCCCTACAATCAGTGGAGTGATTAGGTGGAGTGATTTTGGGTCATGTCACCATTAGGACATTTTATAGGAGGAGGCCAAAAGATCAGTGCCCTCTAAAATCCACAAACGGACACCTCCGAAATCCTCGCTACGCCACTACTTACAAATCATTTAACCTCATTGCACCAATGTGAATAGTTAAAACTGTAATAATGTCAACCTGCCCTAGTGAGTTAATCTGGAACACGAGTTCGGGAGAAAAACTGGTTGATATATTTCCTGTATTTTGGTGTAAATGATATAATTTAAATATTTCAACATTTCTAACTGGTGGTATTGATATCAGCTGGTGATAGTTAATAATCTATTTATACTTTCAATATCATTCTTATTTTATTATAGACTATTACTACAACACTTTCAATATCATTCTTATTCTACTATAGACTATTAGTACAACACTTTCAATATCATTCTTATTTTATTATAGACTATTACTACAACACTTTCAATATCATTCTTATTTTATTATAGACTATTACTACAACACTTTCATTATTATTATTATTTTATCTATATACTCTATTACTTCTCAATTGGACAATAGACATATATGATTTAATCTATTATTATTTGTACAACATATTAACTTATTAACTTTAAGTTCGTGAATCTAAGGACTGTATTGATCCTACTTTGGCTGACCGAGTTTTCTGCAAAGGAGCATAAATGTCTAGGCATGGAACCGGAATGGGTTTGTGGAAATGAAAGTCTGTACCCCAATAGGCCGACGATTCATATCTCACGCTCAACAAATAAGATCTATCAATCATTGCTAATTAGGTATTAATGTGGACCGGAAGTACAATGAGGTTATGATGTTGTTCCGGACACTAACTACCGGAAGTCGAGGGCTTGGTTATTAATTTCTATGAATGTAAGAACGTGATCATCCTCGAGAAGTTTGCCACATAATCTTTAGTACTTTAGTTTGAAAAATATTGTATTTGAATAAAGCCCTTGAAACTAGCCGAGAAGACATTATATAACTAATCTTTTGAAACTTGTCAAAGTTGTTCGTCTTATTGTCGATAGAAGGTGTATGGTAATTTTGACTCTTATTCAACCATTTAGGTCCAACCCGGTAATGCTAGACAATAGGGTACGAGGAAATATGTAAAACTATTAGAAGGTCCAGGCCGAAAAGTGTGGATTCTGATGTAACAGACTGTAGATACGGGAATATTTCAGCTAGGATCTTCAAGTCTGTTGGTGATTATCACTGACTGTTTTGAGTAAGCTAGTCTGTCCAATCATCTATGATTTCATTTTGACCAGATTGAATAGGGGTCAATTGTAGTCGCCTCTGATCTATTCAAATTATTCGGAAACAGAATGTAGACATATGAATATAAACAATAAACTAATTAAAAACACTGCACTTACCGGAAGTCCCGCCCAATATGGCGTCTCACGAAACGAAATGACCGGGTAGTAAAATTCAACATAAAATGCCAACCCCGTGACCCCACCCCCAATTAATAATTGAAGGAGGACCAGCAGAATCTGACATCCACAGGCACAACATCTCCGGCAGCAAAAACAGCATCCTCTTCTCCCAGTTGTCATAGTTACAGCAGGTGAGGTGTCAACAGGCTTCTTTTTCCCGCGTGTTGGGCGATGTGTCGTCGAAAAGTCGTCTGGTGAGAGGTTCTGCGGAACTGTCGTCTCCAAGCCAACCAACATGGACGGTAACTCGGGCGTACTACGCAATGCTGGATTTTGGCGGGACGATATTAATGTTAATTTAATATTAGAGGTAGAATGGGCTCGAGGTCGGGTGGTAACCATAGTGATTGATCAATACCACACCTTCGATTAAATCAGAATATTCAACACATGTTATTATGACGTCATTCACAATATTCCCAGAATATCTGGACAATACTACATGACGTCACTAACAATAGAGTACATTATGTGAGTATATTAAAATAACACGGTCGACGTCTGGTAGTCATTTTCCCGCTAAATATCAACATGTTACATCCTTGCTAGATTTACACTTTTTACAACTTCCTACAACTTCCTACATAGCATTCCGTTTGGTTTCTGTGTTTTTATCCCCTGATAATTCACTCTAACCTTTTATCACAGTAATTCTTTCTTTTACTTCGACCAACAGAGATTTGTTTGTCTTGGCTGGTTGTAGTTTATCAAAGTATCTTATTGAATCAACACTTAGGATTAAGTTTCTTCAATGGAGGGTTTGTTAAAAATGGAATACAAATTAACTAATCTGCTAATTATTTAACTAATTAATGACTTTTTTAGTCAAAATGTGTTCTGCTTACGCTTCTAACTAACATTTACAAATATAATCCAAGGTTTAAAAATCCGAATCAGTTCATATAAAATCACGAATCCAAGCAATAAGTGATCTACCAGTAAATCCCTTTGATCCAAATCCAAGATGTCTGCTGTTAGTCCGTCATGGCGTCCAGATGACAAGCGTTAAAATCCAACATGTAAGCCTCTATTCTTACAACTTGAACAAGTTAGACACATATTCATTACTCAACAAATATTTTCTTCGTCGACTTTTTCCTTTTATTTCTAAAAATAGCTCCCAAATAGTGGCAGCCGACATATTTTCTCTCACGCGCAGCCAGAATTCTGCTTCTGTTGTTATTTAGACGCCTGCTGTAATCAACATGGAACGAGGCCACGCGCATCCATATCAACACCTTTCATCAAGTCTCTATCCAACTGTAAATAGAGAAAATAATGGTGTATATATGATATGGTTGATGTTGTATTTTTTGCAACCCGGTTTCCCCGGGCAGTGATGCAGGTGGGAGAAACTAGCACGGAAAAAGCATCTACACTACCTCTAATTGTTCGTCTGGGACAATAAACCAAGGCCTTCTGTGCAGCATTATGTGTACGGTAAAATACTTCTACAGTTGGACATAGAGTAGGGTAGACAGGTTTACGTCCGAGGGGAGGGGGGGGGGATACCTGGAGTTACCCGAATTTCAAATAACCATGCATACTGCATGTCGCTGCATGAATTTATTCAAATTATATGCAGAACAATAGGACGTTAAACTAATACTAATGAATTTTAGGGTTATTACAGTATACGCCCAAAATATATTTCTGTGTGCATAATCCACGCCCCCGTTTCTCAAAAAATCTAGCGATGAATAATTGGCGAAAAAATTAATCGTAAGATTTTTTAATATACCGGAACCAGGCCACGTGTTCTGGAAACGATCTTAGTGCTAGGAAGTCCTAGTCTCTTATCTTCTAACATTAATTGTATATAATTATAATGTATGATTTATATCGATCTATTACAAGTGTTAACAGAGAAGATACTGATGTTTATATGATATTGTTTATATTTCAATCTGATTAAAATACAAGGGGCCGATTATTCTATACTTAATTAAGATAAATTCATGATTTTAAGAAATACAGTAATCTGATTGGATAACAAAACTAAATTTAAAATCAATTATAGTGATTGACCAACCAGGGCCCTCACGGTGCCATTGTATCAGATTGGTAATGCTGTAGGATGACCATCACCCACAATCCTTGCATTAAAAGGTGCGGAAACACAAGCGTCTTCGTCTGAGATTTTTGTCGCCGATTCGAATCTTGAGTGAAATCTCGTGAAAGCACGGGCTGACAGAATTTTTAATATCTAACAAGTTTGATATCAGATTCCTTTTCCTTTCAATTGCATGCTGATTATCGACATAGTGGAAAACGACCGACTGGAGATTTGTGTCTCCTCGGTACAGTCGTTGAAACTTCAGACATGACTCTAATCGGCGAAAAAAGGTCTCTGACCATGATCGCTCGTGTGCCCACAACTTAACAGATTCCTTACAGGATTTAAAATAAATGTGAGTGAGATATGCAACATCTAAAACAAATCTTGTTTTCATGAAGGAAATGTTTCCTATCAGATAATGTTTTAGATTTAAACACTTAGCATTCACTTAGCATTCACACTTTGGTGAATTTTCTTTTTCTTGTGAGTAGTAGAAACTAGGACCATTCAATGCTGAGCTGAGATCTCTAATGAAGTTATCAAATACAGAAACTTTGTCCATTTGTTCTGTATGGCATACAGCATATTTGTTAACAATAGTTGAAACAGCAGAAGTGTAACTCAAGAGAGCTGTGTATTGGTAGTCTTCCTTTGGCTGATTGAATTTCTAAAAGTATGTCTGAGAGTTCATGCAGCCTTTTGTTATCTTTTGCAGAAATCTTTGAGAAATTTTCTAATTTAGTCTTTAAAGAGTTCTCTACCAATCTTATATTTTTATCAGTTACGTCCCTTGAACTTTTCAAATTCATCATTAGTCTACTAGTTTTTGCTTCAGTTGACTCGTCCCTGGTTGTCATGTGTGTTGTGTATGTTGAGCAGCTATGGTTGGTGTGGCGCCAGGCAGGGCATGTTTACTCTTTTAGACACCTGACCTACACCACTCTCCATTATGAATTTACTCATTGATAATTGATATACTAACACTATAGGCTACTTAGTTCATTAGCTGCTACAAATGTTTCGCCAATATGTTATGTGGATTTTGGATTTCGTTTTGCGGATCGCCAGTACTTGCTTTATTCATTAGAGACATAAGCCGACAAATTGACCTATCAGATGTCAATACCCATTTACAGATAGATTGACACAGGTGTTAAAAACCAATGGATGCTTTCAGGGGGACCAGGACCGTAGCTAGACTTGATTGTCCGGAGGGTTAAGTAATATATTCGGAGGGGCAAGTAAAGTCTGACGCACATAGAATTGAATTTGATGGATAGTAGTATAATTTTTGGATCTAGAGAAGGCATTCAAAGGAATCTTTCTTCCAACAAAATATAATGTAGATAAAGACCTAGATTGGAACGGACACTTCATAGAGAAAATTTGAAGAAATAATGAAGAGACGGGTATTTTGAATAGCCACTTGGTTACAAAAAGCGTTAGATGTTTACAGGGAGACAACTCGATTTTATATCTGCCCTATTCAAAAACAGTCATATTTTTCAACTGCAACAAACTTGTTATTTAGTTTTGCAAACGTACATTCAGCAACGATCCTTACAATAATTCCGGGGTGCTTTTTGCTACATCGTCTTTGAAATTGGCAATAGTTCGATATTTTTCGATAATATATTTACACCTGGAACAAACGATCATTTGTAAAAATCTGACAAAGTTTGGTGAGGGTTACAAGGTACGTAGAGCAGACGATAATCCAGGATTCTGCGATGACTCATAAAAGATGCGACGTAATTTTGGTGTACCAAGAAATCCAGAAATATTTACCAAGTTAGAACTGAAACTTCGAACACCATTAACTGCTGAACTCCTCTAATTTCTTGTAGGGGGTTTGAAAACCTTTTCTACTCTCAAAAAGGAATATACTACTACCCTAACCACCCCTCCTTCGCTTCAGAATCTCAAAAACATGCAAGTTATTGACTACAAAGATATCAAGTTTAATGCCGCATGTTGTTCGGCCGAGAGAGGCCGAAAATTAGAGATCTCAGTTCGGTAATCATCGATAGTTTCCGTAAGTCTGTAGAGCGTTTAGAGAGGGGACCTTCGGCGTCTTTGTGGTCGATGTGTACCGTTTTGTGCAAAAGTGTGGCTCGATGTAGGCGTATTTTGATGTTGGGAGTCGCATCAAAAAGGAACTGAACAGACACAGCTTCATGGAACAATAATTATTGGTTAAAGTTTAAATCAACGTTTCGACGTTATTCATCTATAATAATTTGAACGAGTAAAGCGTTTTTGTTTTTACTGTGAGTAATCCAACTTAACTTCACCTCGGCGACATATATATCTTTTAAAACAGGTTCGCCATTTTCATTCATGAATATATGTAAATAGTCTACAGAAGTACTAGAAATGTACAAAAATCGCATAATTCCTGTTAAAAATATCTCAGGTTAGGAATTTCTTTTTCCTTTTTGATTAGATGTATTTTCTATTTATGGCGTTGTCTGAAAAAAGACGACTCATCTTTTTAACTATCAAATGCAGATTATTCTGGACAAACATGGATTTGAAGGGTCAAATGAGCAGTGAGAACAGTGAGCTGTGAACATTATTACTGATTGGTTTAGCTAAAGAAATTCCCGTTTTTTGAGACTAAGGTATGAGAGGTCAAAACAAATGACCTGTTCCGTTAATAAAGTATGGATGGATGGATACAACCACTACAATTATTATACCAAGGAAACTAGAAGTTTCACACGAAAGCTTGATGTTGTTTCCCATTTTTAATCTTAGTTAAAAACAAACTATAATTGTATTCAGTACAGTAGGCTAGCTGGTTGAACAGAAATCTTCCTGGCACCAAATCTTTTATTTTAAACCTTTAGAATAAGTAGGAGGTAGATTTCTCTATAGTTCGCCGTATAATTTGATAAAATCCAAAGTTTCAAAACGCTGTCTAATGTAGAAATATTTCAAAGATTATAACATAAACTTGATTTAAAGAAATGATATCCTTAAAGCCTTTTTATCTCTTTGTTCGACAATTTGATAACGTAGCAGATATAACAAAACACAAAACTCGCTTCTATATGTCGTTCAAATCTTATAACGTAGCAATTAATGTGATAAAAAATTAAGACTTGAAAAAACCATTAAGAAACATTGATTGTTCAAATATGAAAAAAAAAAAAAAAGAAAAATGAAAATATTTTGTCTTGGCATTTCAAGCCATTAAAATAACTAGTCTAGGATAATATAATAAAGGAAGGAGAAAAAAAATCTGAATTGCTAGACAAAGCCTGAAATCCAAAACCAAAACAACATAATGGCGACACAATGGTAGCAGCCAATGAACTTTTCACACGAGGAAGTATATCAATCATTAGTGATTAAGTATTTCATAATGAAAAGTGGTATCAGGTGTCTAGAAGAGTAAGCATTCCCTGTCTGGCGCCACCCCCGTCATAGGTGAGAGTTGTATTGCTTCGACCACACTTTGTGACTTTCATACCTTTATATCTGGTTATGTCAGTTGTCTGAAGATCGCATGGCAAGAAACTCTTAGTAATAGTAACAACATGATTCCAGTTCTATTATGATTTTTCTACCTTTGATATGAGAACTATATGCTGTATTAGATTAGTTAATGTCCATGATATAAAAAACTACAGTGTAATTCACACGATCTACAGTGAAAGTTCCGTTGTCGTTCTGAAACATACCACGGTGTAATGAGTGGCAGACATTTTTTACCGAAACTAAAAAAAAATTGTCACGTGATCGTGTGATTCTGGTAGATCACACATTAGAGGCTGGTCGTTCAGGACTACAAGTGTTGATTACAAAACCAATAAAAAGAAAAACATTGTAAGATATGGAACCAAATGATAATCCAATGTATTATTGGTGAACCTATAGTCAAAATAGCGTTTATTACTCAGAAGAGTGGCAGAATCATTATTAAAGTTTTCAACGCGAGGGAATATCACTTGTCAAATAACTGTGAAATGCCGGAAGTGAAGAGTCTCTCCCAAGAAGACACAACTAATTCTACTATTCATTTCCGAGACGGATTCATCTTTCCGGAAACTGTCGAGGATTGCCGAATGCCCTTAAAACTGTAATACTAGGGACTATATTCAGGAGGCAATATTAATATCTCTTGACAAATAACTGTAAAATGTCGGAAGTAAAGAGTCTCGCATAAGAAGATACAAATAAATTCATTACCGATTAATCTTTCAGAAACTGCTGAAGATTGACGAATGTGTGTAAGTTTGTCTAAAAAAAACCCAGATAAACCTTTATATTTGATTATTATACGCTGTATTGTACTTGTATTTTATATTATGAATTGCTTTAATCTAGATATTATACCAGTAAAAGTTTATAAACCACACGTTGCAGTAAATCTCTTAGTATTATCTCAGTCAATTGGATTAATCTATTTACAACAGATTTAACACTAACACAGACATACACGTTTTAATGTTTCCGGAATTTCAATGTTCAAGAAACTTTCTAGTTTTTCAAGCGTCTAAGAGGATTTCCGAGTTAAAACCATAAAATATAGACTGTCTGTGTAATTGTTTCAAGGTCTTATGACATTCCAAAATTACTGACTCTATATCTGATCTCTTATAGTTATTATTGACAGAGGTCAGTCTGAAACTTACTGACTCTATCTGATCTCTGATAGTTATTATTGACAGAGGCCAGTCTGAAACTTACTTACTCTATATCTGATCTCTGATAGTTATTATTGGCAAAGGTCAGTCTGAAACTTACTGACTCTATATCTGATCTCTGATAGTTATTATTGACAGAGGTCAGTCTCAAACTTACTGACTCTATATAGGGCCTCTGATAGCTATTATTGACAGAGGTCAGTCTGAAACTTACTGACTCTATATCTGATCTCTGATAGTTATTATTGACAGAGATCAGTCTGAAACTTACTGACTCTATATCTGATCTCTGATAGTTATTATTGACAGAGATCAGTCTGAAACTTGCTGACTCTATATCTGATCTCTGATAGTTATTATTGACAGAGGTCAGTCTGAAACTTACTGACTCTATATTTGATCTTTGATAGTTATTATTGACAGAGGTCAGTCTGAAACTTACTGACTCTATATCTGATCTCTGATAGTTATTATTGACAGAGGTCAGTCTGAAATTTACTGACTCTATATCTGATCTTTGATAGTTATTATTGACAGAGGTCAGTCTGAAACTTACTGACTCTATATCTGATCTCTGATAGTTATTATTGACAGAGGTTAGTCTGAAACTTACTGACTCTATATAGGGCCTCTGATAGCTATTATTGACACAGATCAGTCTGAAACTTACTGACTCTATATCTGGCCTCTGGTAGTTATTATTGACACAGATCAGTCTGAAGCTTACTGACTCTATATCTGATCTCTGATAGTTATTATTGACAGAGGTCAGTCTGAAACTTACTGACTCTATATCTGATCTCTGATAGTTATTATTGACAGAGGTCAGTCTGAAACTTACTGACTCTATATCTGATCTATGATAGTTATTATTGACAGGGGTCAGTCTGAAACTTACTGACTCTATATCTGATCTCTGATAGTTATTATTGACAGAGGTCAGTCTGAAATTTACTGACTCTATATCTGATCTTTGATAGTTATTATTGACAGAGGTCAGTCTGAAACTTACTGACTCTATATCTGATCTCTGATAGTTATTATTGACAGAGGTTAGTCTGAAACTTACTGACTCCATATCTGATCTTTGATAGCTATTATTGACACAGATCAGTCTGAAACTTACTGACTCTATATCTGACCTTTGATAGTTATTATTGACAGAGGTTAGTCTGAAACTTACTGACTCTATATCTGATCTTTGATAGCTATTATTGACAGAGGTTAGTCTGAAACTTACTGACTCTATATCTGATCTCTGATAGCTATTATTGACACAGATCAGTCTGAAACTTACTGACTCTATATTTGATCTCTGATAGTTATTATTGACAGAGGTAAGTCTGAAACTTACTGACTATATCTGATATCTGATAGTTATTATTGACTGAAACCTACCGCACAAAATATCGTCCAGAACGTATTTAATATATGAGTATATGGATACAAATTCAGCGTGGGTATGAATCTGTTTGTATTAGTATAGTAAAAATATGGTATTTGTAAGTTAATATAACATTTGAAACATGATAAATCATAGTTGTACATCAAAAGAAATAGATTCACAAAGACAAAATCAACACTCTATCAAATATACACGCAGTATTTCAGCAAAAAAGATATAAAAATACCCTTAAAATAATGTCAAATAAAAAAATTCGAAAACATTAGTCCAACCTCCTTTTTTGTTTATTTTAGGGAATCACTCCAGTCAGATCTAACTACATCTCTATATCAAATTTCATTATAATTCATAACACCACTAGCCAATAAACTTTCTTCCCTCTCCAACGCTGGGATTACGTGACTGAACAAAAGGGTTATTCCTAAAAAATAAGACTAGTTTAAACACGCTAATTAAGTCGCTGTTCTGAATTAGCCTAGTGTAATTCGAACGGCTGTAGCAGAGGTTACCAGGTCAGGGCAAAGGTGATTCCTCCGAAGAAGAAAGAATGGAGTCGTTAGAGCCTAACTGGAGTGGTTGCGTAAAAATAAAACCTTACAAAAATGAGGGACAAAACTTTGGTTTAAATTTATTTCGACTGATTGTCGTAAATTCATTTCAATTGTTTGGTCTAATTTTACTTAGACTAAATGAGAAGTTAACTATGGACGTTAAATTCCGTTCAATTTCAATTGTTTGGTCTAATTTTACCTAGGTTAATGGACGTAAAACACCAATTTCAATACCAAACCTTTCTACTCGAGAAAATTGAAGCTATAGAAACATGCTGTTGAATATCATTGACCTAATTTGAAGAGTTTGTTGTCGATGAGAAATAAAAGGAGAAATTGTGAAATAGCTTGTATCTGATTGGTCATGCAGTTTTGAAAACTATAAAGTAGAAATGTCGAATTGTTTTCTGATCTCAAGTGGAGTAAACTAATAAAAAAAACAACAACAAAAAAACAGCAGTCTGAGAAATTTCATTTTGAATCACATTCTAATTCAGTGGTTCCGAAACTTTTTCAGCCTTCAAACCTCTGGAGCAATCACCTGGACCTTTCATACCCCCAAAAATTTGTTTCATCCACATTTCTAGCATGTGATGATGTTAGGTGCTCTCTCAATTCAAAATAAATTCTTCTCCTACACCCTTGAGACCCTAGTTCCACAACCCCAGGGTGTGAAAACACTTCAGGTTGGGAACGGGGGTTCTAATGTAATTCTATTTACAGCTTTCCAGCATCCAAACATTAACAGTCTCTTCCAATTCACGTTTTATCAAATATAAATGTTAACTAGCTCGGAAGCTGACAGATCTGTGTCAAACAGGTCTAGTTTTTCTTTCTATTAAATTCTCATGACGGTCGTAAATACAAATTCTTATCCTCCTCCTACCGCCTTGTCATTATGAAATCGTCTGATCCTTTCGTTCTGTCGATAGAGATAACCACAACATCTTCACAGTGTCAAATTGTTACTTCGTCATAATTGACTGCAATAACCACTATTCTTGAATTGATAACTTTGAAGAGTACAAAAGGGTGTTTATGTAATATAAAAAATATGGTGCTTGTGACGTCACTAGTGTAGAATTTTTCACAATATATATATAATATAATAATTAACATTTATATCACAGAAGATGTTTTAAACGCATAGAATAAAAGTTTCACAGTTTTTAAGGCTGAAGTTCCAGTAGAAAACTTCAAGACAAAAATATATTCTCTCTGTCGCTTTGTTTTTTCAACATTTTAAGATTTTCAGAAGGTTTCAAATACTCATATCTTCTTGAATTGTATAAAGTGTCATCTGGAGTCCAATTTTGGAATTTCGGTTTGTTTATCCGAAACATACATGGACACAATTGGTCAATAATTTAGTTCGTAACCAATTAGATTGACTGAATTAAATTATGGCGGGAAATTTCATCATTATAGGGGTCGCTATGATTTTAGAATCGTTACGTCACATAGCAACCACTTTTATTTTGACGTAATGAGAGATATCACAAAATCTAATACACTCTTAGATTTTCGTTGATTCTGGCATGTTCTGTAATAGTTTATTTAACTCGGCCAGTGTTTTATTTTAGGCGGGACTGTGGGTAAGGCGAATCGATCTTCTTTTATTGTCTTAATACACAGATAACTGATTATAATATAGACTATAGTAACTACTAACACAATACTCGAATATATCAGTACTAGTATTATGATAGATTGACTTGGCTGACTCGTAGTCTCGATCACCTGTAAGGAAAGCATAAGATATTCAAATAAAATGGAGATTTCCGCCCTTCAGTACGTTATAGGGCTAAGCTTATGAAATGAGTTGTATATCCTACCGTGCTGTGTCTTATGATATTAATTGGCTCTTTACGAAGTGGAAGCTAAGAACTGGATTCAATGAAACAACTTTAAAATGTTTGAATTCGGTTGCACTTCTAAAAGGAGATGAATCAGAAACAAATCTCTACATAAGTGGTGGTGTTGGGTGGTGGTCTGGGGTGGGAGGGTGTATAGTATATATATACTATAGCGCATCTGTATTTAGTTTGGTTTAGCCTATTTTCGGTGAAGTAAAAACGTTTATAAAAAAGTTGATACTTACAGCTACGTCTGTAACTGGGGCTGAAAATGCAAAAATTTTGACACAACAATTACAACGTAATAAAATCTCTAATTATAACATCTTTTAGCGTCTTGATAACCAAGAATTATTATGAGGATTAACTAGCCTTGAATAATTGGACTCTTTTGGGTTTAATTCATTCTAATGACGATCGTTTTCATTGCTAAAACTTGAGAATTTGTAGCTCAGCAACCAACACAACAACGTCATATTAACTAATGATAGTGAACAGTAAAACTACGAGCCTGAAAGACCATACGACCATAACCATAAGATATTTTAAATAAAGTTATACTTACGATCGTGACAAACGTAAGGTAATTCATCGCTACAGTTCCACGCCTTCCAGGTTGAAGTTATAGTTGACATAGCAACACAGGGTTTATCACCAGCGAATACAGGTTGATCAGGATGCCAGTTACTCCAGTTTGAAATTCTACCATTCTGCCAGCGAAACTCATTTCGTTCTTTATAATAACGTAACCCCAACCAATATGTCCTGTTTTTGTAGAAAATACTAGTTATAGTCAATTTCAAGACTTGATGCATTTGAGCCTCTCTACTATTACCACAAGATAATATCCCTGAATCGCAGTAATCTTGAACTACTGAGAGGTTTAAATGCTCATCTAAATGGTTATCTGGGCAGAATGTGTTCAAGACAGTTATTGAGAGAACTTTTCATCAGAGAGTTACATTGACAGTTCCAAACTTACTTCAAATTTCGTTGAATGACATTACACCTAACCCATCGATTTTTCAAATAGCTCTTTCTAAGAGATAAAGTTATAACTTTGTGAATTAGAGTCATCTTCATAAAATTAGCAAAACCCTTATCGGTGTAATCAGTTACTTCCGGTTGGATCGCGTGAGAAAAGTAGGCTTTTAACATAAGCTGGTGAAATTGGTCTAGATATTCTCAAAGAGTGACCATGCACTGGTTAAAAAGAAAATAAAAACGAGTTTTGTAACTTGACGATGCTCCTGTCTACCAGTTGATACTTGACTAAACCTTTTGACATTGATCTTAACCGTACCTGTTTACAATGGTCAACTGGGATAAATAAGGAAAGATGGCTTCTTCAATGAAAATCAGATGAGAACCCACGACCGTGAGAACAGCCGCACCAGAACAGACAGTCCTACAGTTGAAACAATACTACCATACATGAATACATACCTATTAAGATTTGAGATTTCGTCCCTCTTGATACTTTCCATATCATTTTCATTGTGCATCTCTAGTAACACCTGGTTAAACGAGTCTTTACATCCAGTAGCCGCCATTGTCCAGTTTAAGTGTCGTATCGAGAAAATCCTTTCATTTTTCAACTCGGCTGAAAAAGATGAACAATAAGCTTACACTAACATTCTGAAAAGTGATAAGTGGTAGCTGAAGTAGCGTTCTATCAGTTGGTAAATTAAATATTTAGATGACTATACAGATAGTTGAAATTGAGCTTTATCATCTGGTAAAGTAAATATTTAGATGACTATACAGATAGCTGAAACTGAGCTCTATCAGCTGGTAAAGTAAATATTTAGACGACTATACAGATAGTTGAAATTGAGCTTTATCAGCTGGTAAAGTAAATATTTAGACGACTATACAGATAGCTGAAACTGAGCTCTATTAGCTGGTAAAGTAAATATTTAGACGACTATACAGATAGCTGAAACTGAGCTCTATCAGCTGGTAAAGTAAATATTTAGATGACTATACAGATAGTTGAAATTGAGCTTTATCAGCTGGTAAAGTAAATATTTAGACGACTATACAGATAGCTGAAACTGAGCTCTATCAGCTGGTAAAGTAAATATTTAGATGGCCATACATATAGCTGAAATTGTGTTCTATCAGCTGATAAAGTAAATACTTAAACGACTATACAGATAGCTGAAATTGAGCTCTATCAGCTGGTAAAGTAAATATTTAGATGTCTATACAGATAGCTGAAACTGAGCTCTATCAGCTGGTAAAGTAAATATTTAGATGGCCATACATATAGCTGAAATTGGAATATTGCCATTGGCCGTTAGTTAGACGTAAATCCGAAAATGATAAAAACAAGAAAATAGGGAAAACAAGATATCGTACGATCAATTACAAAGTGTCACAATATTTACATTTCATTCATTGTCTCATTATTTATTTAATATTTCCCGTTTTTCAGATATTATTTTGTCAGTAACCGTGTTCACATTGCTGTTACAAGAACTCTACAGAAGAAGAACTCTACAGAAGAAGAACTCTACAAAAGATATGAGTTCACAATGTCTTGGGCTCTAGTACTGACCGTTGATGAAATATCCAAGCGACAGAATTTAGGTGACTTTGATTACCGAACGGATGAATATTACTAAAATATGAAAATAAAACTTACCTCTTATTACAGTTAAAATGAATAAAATTATCACGATCAACTTCAAAATAAAACTAATTCCCATATTCTCCATATTTAATATTTAACTGTTTTTATACACATATACTTTTAAATTCTTCAGTCACGGTATATTTCAATTCAATAAGGAAGGGAACACAAGTACTAGAGAGTCTCTGAAATTCTTCATCATTTGCTTTATCCCGACATGACAAACGATTTCGTTGTTTATTTTTCCATCCAAAGTTTTAAACGCATGACACTCTCCGATCGGATTTGTAAGGTCTGTCTGGAAAAGTCTGGAGGTAGGTGATATCCGTAGGCTTAGCTTATATGACAATATTAACGATAGAGCGATTTAAACTGACGTCAAACGAGAATTAATATAACTCTTTTCTTAGATTTAAAAAAAAAACAAAACATGTAACTGCGTTTTTATTCATTTTTTGATAACAATGGCTAATTTAAAATAATGATATTGGTGTGCAGACTAACATAAACTCCGTCTATCGTTCAATATATTTGTAAAGAAAATGAAATATATTTGTATTCTATGATTTGTAAGGAGCAATTAGTCTGTGCTGATTATTTTCATAAGTTAAATGTTAAGTTAAACGATTTTCGAAACCAAGCTAATTTTTTTAGATAATTTTTGTCATTCTGCATCTTGGTTTTTCAGCCGCACAAATTTATAATATTCAGAGTTATACACGCTTACGATTATATTTAGTCTCCAGTGTGAGTGCTCTTCTTCATAATCCTTCAGACTTCTGGGTCCGAGGTTTTGATCACCTGGTGCCACTCTGTAACTACCCAGGTCTTCACAATCCGAGGTTTAGATACCTGGCATATCTGGTCTCTACAGTGTTAGTGTTTGTCTCCCTTATCAAACTAGAGCTAGGTTGTATACCGGTATTTTTCCTTCTTCTGAGTCTTGATGCCACTCTTCACCTTGGCTTTTAGACACACGCATTTATTGTTCCAAGAGTCTAATGTCTGTATTAAGTCTCCAATCTTGGTGCTTGTCTTCACAATCTGACAAGGATTTAAATATAGGACTTATAGGTAGAATACTGGTATTTGTCCTGTTCGTCACCCAGTGAAATACAGAATAATTTCTGAAACTTGTTGTATAAAACTTGTGGTATTTAGTCTTTTTAAAACAAACAACCTCTTAACGCTCGAGATTTTTTCATTTTTATTTAAAGGAATTATTCCAAGTAAAAGTCTTAACGATTTTTTTTGTCTCTTTTTTCGTTTTTTCTATGTCTCAAGAAATGACGAGTCGTCATTTTACCCTTCAAACGCAGATATTTCTAGATACACATGGAAGGCTCAAATTTTGACGATGGACTATGGACTCTATTACTGATTGGCTTAGCTAAATCAATTCCTGTTTCTGAGACAAAGGTATGATTGGTGAAACAGGTGTGAATCTTGCTAAGAAATTTTAGCAAATGTAAGTCCAACCATAAAATGAAGCAAGGTTAAAAAGTAATATCAGCAAGAAACTGAATACTATACTACACTTTACTTAGGACTTGTGTCTGTACCTTCCTATGATTTCAAACTAAGTTGATTCGGCCAAGCTCAAATCCGACTATATGTCCATATACATCTACATCGAACCAATTACAGAATGTGTACGATAAAATATTTGTAAGAGTTGCGTCCCTTGAAAAATTATTTGTGATTTTTTTGTAAAGGCGTAAACTGTTGGATATATAACTTTATTAGAAACCCAGCTGCACAAGTCAATCATCCCTGGGATCTTTCTACATACAACTACATTAATACATTTACAAAATGGTAATTTAATAAAAACTAGAAATAACATAGAAAATGAATGATGAAAATTAAGAGTCACATTAAGGTGATTTAATAGCATGTAAAAACGAAATGAAATAAATGTAATTTGTGGTATAAGCAATTTAAAAGCCTTTTTATTTTTTTCGTAAGAAAAGGGGACCATGACTCCAAAGTGCACATCAATTGTTAGACTAATTATATGATTTTGTTATACAATGTTTGTGAATTATAAAAATACTTCATCATGAGTGGATGTTTTCTTAATTTCTATTCTCTTTTTATAACGATTTCTGAACAACAAATTGCTTCCATAACTTTTCTTTTTATCACAACAAAATGTCAACAGTGTTTAAGATTTGTACCACAGGCCACTTAGAGTTGTACAACAGGCCACTTAACATTTTCTATGAATCAATACTCATTTGTCCGTAGTACGGGGGTTTGTTTAGGACATGTTTAATGTTTTTTTTATTTATGATTTATTTCTACTTATTTTTCAGTTTTGTATAATGAATTATCAGTTTTGTTTACTATTTTTTATTTTTGGTTTATTGATTATGATTTAATTCTATTTATTTTTGTTTGCTGAATTATGTTTTAATAAAAATCGGCCACTACCCGACTACCATACAGGTCAACATCATGAGATACAACCAGATAATTCAGCAGACGAAACTGAAAAAAAAAAGTAGAATTAAATCATAAATAAAACAAATTAAACATGTCCTAAACAAACCACCGTACATTTTGCATAGTGTGAAACGTGAACACAAATTCCAGGGCAGTATCTTGGTCCAGATGAAACTACGTCTGGAAATAACATACACAAACGTAGTACACCACCATCTTGAATCTCTTCTCGACTTAATAAGTCGAATTTTGAAAAGATTTTAAAAAAATGGCTTTGAATATTATTTGAAGGCTTAGTTTAAACAAAATGGCTTTTTTAAAAAAATCGATAAAGAATAAAAATTCAGATATTTTGAATTAAAACCACTTTTTAGAAGGGGGAGGGGGTCTCTATTCTTTTCCTTGCATGTATTTCCATCATTGATATTAAATTCGAATTCGTTTTCGATTTTTCATTTTTATCTTGACATACGGTATCTATTTTCATCCAGTCCTTTTCTTAAACTATGTTCTCTATACTTGATAACAAAGACACAAGTTCTCATTGCACCATTCGTTGGTAATCCTTGACCCGGTCTATTTTTAGATTTATTGGGAAAACAAAAGTTTGAGCGTCATGGGCAAGTTACTTTCCTTGAAACAACTGAGTTATAATCAGAGCAATTTGACTTTCAAAGCAGGTTGGTAGTTATTATTGTCAAAAATTAAATTTGTTTTGGAAGATATTCCACTTTAGGGCACACTTGAACGATGTAGTAGTAGTGAGAAAATTGTGTTGGTTTTGTTGTATGTAGGCCTAGGCCTAGTATTCAGTGTACTACATACGGAATGAGGTATATCATACCGTTCTGTATATTCGTTATTGTTATCAGAAACACGAATCTTAGCTCGAGATTCGAACTGTAACTTCAACATCGTGCCGGTCATTATGTGGCTGAAGATGTCATAAATTGGTGTTGTTCGAATTATAACTTCATAGTTTCAGTACGGTATAGGTTAATTGGAGGTGTTTATCGATATTGTTTGTTTACGTGTAGAAAGTAGGCGTTACTTCAAATCTATTTATAACTATATAGGTTTTGGCCCACTCTCGTTATTGCTATGATCTAATATTATATTATGTGTGGTTACAGAAAAGTTTTAAAGGTTCGAATAGCAGAACGAAACCCCGAATTCAAATAGTTAACATTGGAAGCAGCTAATTCATAACCATACGCGACCGGTAATCTCTATGAGCGCGAGCGTGAGGATGAACGTGTTAAAGAATATCTGTGTTTTCGTCTGATTTCTCAACACGACTAAATGCAGACTGCGCATGCATTAATATAAATCGAAAGTAGAAGAAGCAGACGTCATTGCGTTAACCTTGATAAGGTACTGTTGTACTAATGCAATGTTCTTGTCATTTTCCAGGGAGTTTCCACTCAGAACACTGGCCGCATCAGGAAGACACATTTCTAGAATAACCAATCCTACCATGGCGTCCAAACAAGAAAAGGAAATGACGTCATTGAAGGAGGAGTTTCGAGGAAGAAGTAGAATTGTTGAAGAAAAGAAAGGTGATGACGTCATTAGAAATGTAACCGTCCAGCCGAAGGATATGGATGTAACGATTAAATTCATTCTTAGTGGTAAGTTTAGAACCAACTATGATCCAGCATGATATTGACGTCACCAAAATGCCACCAAATTAATAGTTTCGTTTCGTAGTATGCAAATTTAAAATTCTATAATTTAAAATCTTTAACATTTGTTGTTACCGGCTCATGTCAGCCTCTGATAGCTGGACTAAGCCTAAGCCCCCTCCCTCCCTACTATAATATGCCACATCTTCACAATGTCAAGCCATTACGTTTTATACCTTGACTGCCATTGCAAACTTTCTTGTATCACGGAATGGATCCATTTGATTTGATAATGGCTTAGCGTTTGCAGATTTTCTGTCGAGTCCCTTGATTGGCTGAATTCGCCAGCTTAAAATCCAATCAAATCAATGTAGTGAAACAAGAAAGGGGACTGTTGTAGTCAAGGTATAAGATGAAGTTCGTAATAGTTTGACATTGTGAAGATGTGAAACAAGAAAGGGGACTGTTGTAGTCAAGGTATAAGATGAAGTTCGTAATAGTTTGACATTGTGAAGATGTGAAACAAGAAAGGGGACTGTTGTAGTCAAGGTATAAGATGAAGTTCGTAATAGTTTGACATTGTGAAGATGTGAAACAAGAAAGGGGACTGTTGTAGTCAAGGTATAAGATGAAGTTCGTAATAGTTTGACATTGTGAAGATGTGAAACGAGAAAGGGGACTGTTGTAGTCAAGGTATAAGATGAAGTTCGTAATAGTTTGACATTGTGAAGATGTGAAACAAGAAAGGGGACTGTTGTAGTCAAGGTATAAGATGAAGTTCGTAATAGTTTGACATTGTGAAGATGTGAAACGAGAAAGGGGACTGTTGTAGTCAAGGTATAAGATGAAGTTCGTAATAGTTTGACATTGTGAAGATGTGAAACAAGAAAGGGGACTGTTGTAGTCAAGGTATAAGATGAAGTTCGTAATAGTTTGACATTGGGTGAGGTCAAATCTCGTGTTAGTGTTCCTTGTTAGTGTTAACACCAACACAAAACACATTTGAACTCATTCTTCGTGTTAATATTGTATGTCTAGTGTTACGCGAATCTAATATTACATTTTCATTAACACCATATAAACAATATTTCTAAAAAATTGTTTTAACTCACTCGATGAGGACCACGAGAGCGGCCGCATTCGGGGTAGTATCGGCGAACGTAAGGTGCTTAGCGAGGAGTCCCCTGTGCTTAAGACGGTTTAGGCTGGCGGGGGGTTTTGTGGGAACCGGTCTTTTTAACTCCAGGCCAGCTTCAAAAGGGAGAGAAACCTTTGGTAGAGCGAAAGGGCAAAAGCTGGATGCTTTTCAGTAGGAGGGATCCGTGTGAAAGCAAGACCTATGCTAATGCTAATGTTAGTTTTTTTCTACCAAAAAGATGTATTTGGTTGAATTTACTTAGTAGGCCTATACAGCTTATTGTGTTTATCATTTTTCTTTTCTAGAATCCTATCCGGTTATCGCCCCTGATATCCATATTCGAGCCACGTGCATGGATGAAGAACAGGCCGTGGAGTTGAAAGGCATGTTAAGGGTCAAGGTCAAGGAATATTTGAATCGACCAATGATATCAAGCCTAGTCAAGGACGCTGAGAAATGGCTGATCACCAATGGACTTGGAAAGTCGGGAAAATCCGGCAAGAGTCTTAAAAAGAAAAAGCCAAAGAAGACAAAGCCCATGGAAAAACAAGCAGACAAGAAATTGGCGCCAATGAAAACAGCAGACGATGTGATCAAAAGGATTCAATGGGACTCGGATTTGCCCCAAGGAGACTTTCTGATCGGATATCAGGATAGATTCGAAGGAATAAAAGAGAAATATTTCTCGGCGTTTTCCTGGGAAGATATCGCTTCCGTGGATTATGACGAACTTGCCATTCCGAAACACCGGATCGAGTATTTCAAATATAAGGAATTGAAAGTTTGGGACAAGTTATCTCGCTTGGATAATATTTTTGGTTCTGTTGGAAGCGGGAAGAAAATCACGGATGTCATTGAGAATTATGAGACGGAGTTGGAACTACAGAAAGAAAAGGAGAAAGAAACCAAAATGGATACGTCCCCTACCGATGATGCGTCAACATCAGAGGCTTCAGCTAAACCAGAATCGGAGTCGGATAGCGATGTCGGAATAGTGGTAACAGTAGCTACTCCTCCTACGTCTGAATACTGGAAAGACAAACTCCGGCCAAATTATTTCCTAGCTGTTCGTATAACAAACCCTGAAATTTTGAAAGTTACAAGCGGAATTCAAGATAGTATACTTAACTCACAGTCAGTTTATAAAAAAAGTTTCAGTGCTCCAGCTTCACTACATATTACACTTTGTACTTTAGGTCTGGACACCCAGGAACACGTAGACTCGGCTGTCAAGGCCTTACACAGTATTCACGAGGAACTGAAAGTGTTGGTTCCAAGAAAATCCCTGATAGTGAACGGTGTATCTAACTTCAATAAGCGAGTAGTCTACGCCAAAGTTGAATATCCCCCGGAGTTTTTGGAATTCGTCGAACACATTGAAATGTGTCTGAGACACGAAGGTATTGAATTTCGGGGACAACATGGCGGTTATGTTCCTCACATGACTATTATGAAGACGAATCGACCAATATCCAGGCGGTTAGGGACTGCACATATTGATCCCAAGTTGTACCAAGACTACAGTGAGCAGTATTTCGGGGAGGTACCAGTCGACGCGGTGTATCTTTGTTCTATGGCTGGTCAGCGTCAACCTGATGGTTTTTATGTATCGCCAACCCATATTGTCTTCTAGAAAACACAATTGACGGCAGCAGTTGCGTATTTAGAAGGTGGACCTTCAGGCCTGTATAAGGTTAATGGACACTTTTCCGGCAGCAAATCATCCCCATTGTAACGCCTTTTGGTATGGTTTTTCACAGAATCACTTTTTCAGCTTTGGTCATCTTCGCAATGCCAAGGTATAAGACGCAGTTCGTAATAGTTTGACATTGTGAAGATCAGCTCTAGTAGTTTCAACGACTTTGGAGGGGTCACGAACCATCTAAATGGTGTATTCATCGGCCAATATTGTTCGATATTTATTGATTCTTATTATATATTTGGTAAAAAGTTTTGTATCTTTGCAAAAGTTACATTAAATTTGTTGAAACAAAGTCGTTACTTATATTCTAATCACATGACAAAATACTTCTTGTTGATCAAGACGAATTATTAGCCAAAACTGTGGCATAAATCTAGGGGGCTGGGATCTGCCTGGAGTCAACAGATTTCAGATGGCCTGAGATGAATTTTGAACAATGTAGAGGGCTTAATTTTCACTTCAAAATAAAGCCTTTTACTATGGAAGACCAATCAGCTCAAAATTCAATGTTCTTATGTCCTAATTGCTAATGCCTAATTTCAATTTATAAATTCTGATTTCTTCATTTGTAGGTTTGTTTAAACTGAACATTTGTTTTCAAAATTTAACATTTGTTTTCAAAATTTAACATTTGTAAGACTGCCCTACGTCTAGAAAAATCAACTTTTAGAAAAATCAACTTTTGTAGTATAGTCTTCCATATTTCACGAGCATAGTCCACCCTCTAAATACACCACTGCTTACGATGGTGTGTCACAAAACGCGTTTTTCAATCAAAGGGAGGTAATACATAAACAAACATTTATACTACAGACAACAAAGGATGGTTTAATCATTCATTGGTTTACTTTACATTATACTAGTTGTTCTCCAATTGATGTTTATAGAAACATCAGATCACCTAACTCTAGGTTATATTCTAGAGAGTGGTCCACTGTTGTACTATTGTCTGTTTATAGGAGCATCAGACATCATCTAATTTACTTATATATTAGAGAGGGGTCCACAATCGGTTTGGATGTCTATCGGTTGGTCTGGTCTAGATGTCTATCGGTTAGTCTGGTCTAGATGTCTATCGCTTGGTCTGGTCTAGATGTTTATCGGTTGGTCTGGTCTAGATGTCTATTGGTTGGTCTGGTCTAGATGTCTATCGGTTGGTCTGGTCTAGATGTCTATCGGTTGGTTTAGATGTCAATCAGTTGGTCTAGATGTCTATCGGTTGGTCTAGATGTCTATCGGTTGGTCTGGTCTAGATCTCTATCGGTTTTCTAGATGTCTATCGGTTAGTCTAGATGTCTATCGGTTAGCCAAGATGTCTATCGGTTGTCTAGATGTCTATCGGTTGGTCTAGATGTCTATCGGTTGGTCTAGATGTCTATCTGTTGGTCTAGATGTCTATCGGTTGGCCTAGATGTCTATCGGGTTGATCTGGTCTAGATGTCTATCGCATGGTCTAAATGTCTATCGGTAGTTTAGATGTCTATCGGTTTTCTAGATGTCTATCGGTTAGTCTATATGTCTATCGGTTGGTCTAGATGTCTATCGTTTAGTCTAGATGTTTATTGGTTGTCTGGATGTCTATCTGTTTAGATGTCTAGATGTCTATATGTCTATCTGTCTATCTGTGTATTAAGTTCAGTGTGTTGAGTACCTATTGATAGAAATAACACTATCTTTATAACCATTCTATCGACTAACTGGACGGTGTTAACGGAGTGGAAAAATCAGCCATATTTACTGTAACAGACTAACTGGTTACACGAACTCACAAGTAGATTATATAATGTTTGGTTTTACAGTTAGTATAACTAGATAAAATAACTTAATAGACAGCAATTTATGATGGTGAAATATCTGGAGATTTCAGTAATAGTTTATTAGTGTAACTGAGGCGAAGAAATTCATGATGTTTCATCCAACTTACAATTGTTTATAATCTGTCATCATTTGTATCGACCTCTCACTGTGAATTAAGATTTTAAATTCATCACTTGCCAGTGTTCAATACTAACACGTTACGTTAACAAGAAGTTCTATGTATTAAGTATGGAATCACCATGAATTAGGAATTTAATTTGACCAATTACTAGTGCTCAAAACTATAACACGTGAGGCCTACGTTAACATGAAGTTCTGTGTATTGAATGTTGAAGCACTTTGTATTTAGTATGAAATCACAGTGTGTGTGATGAGGAGATTCTGTTCGATTAATAATGGTTTTTCTCGCCGAGCATCACGCTAGTTAACCTTTATAAGTTTTATACGTGAGTTGTTTGGTAAATAGTGTAAAATAAACAGGTTCTCGATACATTGATGACACCGGAGGTAAAGAAAAGGACCTTGTGCTCATGACCGGAAGTAAAAGAGTTCGTGTACTCGGGAGTCAGTACGTATTAATATTAAAAGAAAGTTATAAAGTTTTGTATATTAGGCAGATTAATGTGATTTGTATTTAAAGAAAGGAACTCGTAAATCTGGAAACATTTTTGGCAAGTAATGGAGGTATAACCAACCGCGAGTAATTTTGCTCTGAGCTATAGTTTTCTATCACAGTTATTTCCATCTAATGTTCTACTGTTTTGTTTGGAAGTTACAAATCATTTACGGACCTCTACGTTTGTCTCATTGTATTTAACCGGAAGTGTAGCCAGGGTTTTACGATATAACCGGAAGTGTAGCCAGGGTTTTCAGATATCACCGGAAGTGTAGCCAGGGTTTTCGGATATTACCGGAAGTGTAGCCAGGGTTTTCAGATATTACCGGAAGTGTAGCCAGGGTTTTCATATATTACCGGAAGTGTAAACTGAACCAATGTTGCGTTGGCTTATCGCTACATTTCGAGGAGAAGTTTTCGATAGAATGGAGGACCAGTTTATTCGGAAGTATAGCGTCAGTTTTTGATTGAAACTTACCGTAAGTGTCTTAGAAGTAAACGGAAGTGTCACATTTAAACATGTCGGTGGATCTAATCTCCATAAAGAGGAAAGATCAAGATGGAAACGTTCCAAACTTTATAAATTTAGAAAGTTTGTCGTATAGACCCTGTAATGCCAAGACGATGTCGCGGAAGAAAAGCGAAACGGCGAGTATGAGTAATTTCGTCTCACACCAGACAACGTGTAAGAAATGTACGAATACAGAATGGGCCGATTTCACCCAAAATACTTCTTTACATGGTCTGAGATACATCTGGGAGCAAAATACCTTTACTCTGAGAAGGTAAGTTGACGATACTTTCAGAGACTCAACTAGAGGTGTGGGGGTGAGGGTGGACTTAAGTGGGTGGGGACCCATCCCCTCGGATTCTTTTTCAACATAACATTATGCTCTCCTCTCTGGGGCCGGGGGTCCGCGGACTTGGTTCAACCAATGTCTATTGTAGTTGGTCTCGTTTGAGGAGACAACTACTATACAATTGTTGCTCCCTGTTGTGTCTTGCTTTAGACGAGATGCTTGGAATTGCTTTGATTGTACAGATTTTTGTTGTTACTCATCATCTTAACATTATTTTGAAATTAAAGACTTGGTTACGATTCAAATTCAAATTCTCTCCTCTACAATGATTGCATCCAGCACTATATTCAGAAACGAACTCGAGGTTATTGTCGGCAAGTTTTAGGGTCGCAATTTAGTTTTAAGTTATGGATTAGGTAGTTATTCGAGTGGGTGTATAGGGAAGAGGAAGAAGGGCGACTAGCTACGGGCCTGGACACAAAGACTAAAGACCTCTATGAAAGGACTTGTTTGTAATGATAACCTAGTCTGTTGTAGAGGGTTGTGGTAAAACTGTAAAATGATGTCTTGTAATTAGAGGAAATGTAAAATGTCAGTATTAGTATTATCTATCATTATGATACCAGTATAGTATTATTACTCATACCTCTATACCATTATTAACATATCTTTACTGAAATTTTAGGGGGAGGGGGTCAACTCAACTCAACAGGGCCATGAAGACATCACCACACTATCGACATAAAGGGATGGGTGTGGGGGGTTGATTTAGGTCTTGAATATATGTCAATAATCTTCAGAAGTACTAGAAACGTACGAAAATCACATAATTCCTTTCAACTCAAAAACTCGACAGGTTAATGAAAACATCACCACACTATCGATTTAAGTAATATTCAAAGGCTGGCGCCGATAGTATATTTATGCCCCTCTGTGTGTTTATTTTAATCAGTAGGCTCCTAGCCCAAAAGAGGGGGGGGGGGGCAAAAAATGGATTATCTCCCTAAATAACTCTGACAATCAACCTATTCCATTGCTGCAACTAAAATCCACACACCATTGATATATTACTAGCCCCTCCCGATATATCACTCCCCAACACCCGGATATATTACTAGCCCCTCCGGATATATTACCCCCCCCCCCCCCCACCGCGGATATATTACTTGCCCCTCCGGATATATAACTTGCTCCTCTGGATATATTACTTGCTCCTCTGGATATATTACTTGCTCCTCTGGATATATTACTTGCCCCTCCGGATATATTACTTTCCCCTCCGGATATATTACTTGTCCCTCCGGATATATTACTTGGCCCTCTGGATATATTACTTGCCCCTATAGATATATTACTTACCCCTATAGATATATTACTTGCCCCTCTGGATATATGACTTGTCCCTCTGATATATTACTTGCCCTCCGGATATATTACTTGTCCCTCCAGATATTTTACTTGTCCCACCGGATATATTACTTGCCCCTCCGGATATATTACTTGTCCCTCCGGATATATTACTTGTCCCTCCGGATATATTACCTGCCCCTCTGGATATATTACTTGTCCCTCCGGATATATTACTTGCCCCTCCGGATATATTACTTGTCCCTCCGAATATATAACTTGTCCCTCCGGATATATTACTTGTCCCTCCGGATATATTACTTGCCCCTCCGGAAATATTACCTGCCCCTCTGGAAATATTACTTGTCCCTCCGGATATATTACTTGTTCCTCCGGATATATTACTTGTTCCTCCGGATATATTTATTTCCCCCTGAACAATCAAGTCTGGCTACGGACCTGCTAATTAGTAATATTAATTATTCCTTGACCTTGACCTGTGCTTTTATAGAGACTTGTCTCAATACAATCAATACGTACATACTCAAAGAAACATGTTCCTAATTTGCCTTTTATGACTGTTATGTGACTGTTATGACTTATTAGTTTTTGGTGATAAATGGGAGGATACCCTCTCCTTTATCCCCCCCCCCTACTAAAACAACACCCCCACCCCCCTCAACCCTTCTAACTTTCCGTCTCCCCTCTGCTGTATAAATGTTGGTTATTGTATTTTCTAGGATTGTATGGTTATTGTTGGTATTGGGTGGTATAGGGTTAATGTCCTATCAGATTATAGACCGTGTTGTATATTATTTTGACTCCCCAGTCACCGTCAACTTAATGGTGAATTTTAACAAGTCTCTACAGTTTCCATCCATCACTTTCTGTAACCAAAACGCCTTCAGGTGAGTCAAGTTTGAAAACATATTTCCGGCTGTTGACCAGTAATATGCCATAGAAACTCAATTTTATAATTATTTAACCTAAAACGATTTTATTTATAGAAATAACTTTGTAACTGTAACAGTTTTTGGAAACGAACCAGACTTAAGGCACCATGATACTAAAAACCTTTTACGTGATTGTAGACGAATGGAAGTCTAATTTCAATCTTGAAATTGATATGGGTGGCTGAACTTTTCTTTACTTTGTCTGGTGGAGCTGCGATTCGATAGGCAATTTATTTTTCTAATTCTGCCACATCCTCTTGTCGAACGGGACGTCGAATTTTTTTCTGAAACGTGAAATAGGCAGCTTGAATTTGAGATTTATTCTGTAATTGTGTTTCCCTCTCTTTTAGATCTACAGTTACTGCTGCGTCTGGACGATACGATCTACTCACAAGTATCTATAACAACTTTAATAACTTCTCACTGGACGATCTCCAAAAATATAACAGTCAAAATATATCACTGGATGATCTTTATTTAACTTCTGGTCACAGAATAGAAGACATGGTTGTAAGGTCGGTAACGATGTGCCGCCGACCAACCAGAAGAGGAGGCTAGGGTCTGGTGCTGTGGAATCCCTTGACAGTTCTGTGGCCTCTCCACCTAATTAATTTGAAAACGCCATTGCTCCCCTTCCAATAACCATGTTTATCCTGACTCTTAGGTCGTTCCACGTTCACAAGATTCTGCAAATCCTCAATGTCCAATTTGAAGCTACCCAAAGGAATAAACTCAACATTTCAGTCAATATATTTCACATTAACCAATAACAATCGACTATCATTTTGTCAATTCCACTGATGTTATTGATTTAGTTTGCATATATCATCGTCAAATCATGCTCATGCTCAAATCATTTGGGAATCTTGCCGAAAATATGTTTATTGACAGCCCCAAAGGTCTTGCCTTGAATGGTTTGTAATTTATTTTAGATGTAAATGGCGAGGAAAGGATTGTGGACCTGAAAATTTCACCCGAACCATTTCCGACAAGGGAGTTTGTTTTGCTTTTAATAGTGATAAAAGTAACCAACTTCTAGTTGATTCTGTGGGTAAGTAGAAGATTCGATCCCATGGTGCACAATATCATACGATATATTGATGTCAATCACAGCCATCAGAGAAACAGTTGCTAGGAAGTAGAACGTGATAAATTGATCACAACTGGTGCACCGACAGCTTAAAATTCAGCGAAATATAGCACAGTCGGTTCTTAACATGAACCTGTGGTCTTAATTCTCGATTGATAATCCGGGAATAATCAGTGCCAAGAGGTTAAACCAGCTGGTAGAACCTAAGTTGTTTTCCTTGTAAAATATAGTTCTTTCTTTCTTCTTTCTTAATTGCCCCTTAAAGCACTGAGCAGGAACCTGTTGGATTTGGAATGAGTCACTAAGATGACAAAAAATAAATCTCAATAGGATAACATGTTAATTTTCTGGATGGTTACAAGGATAGGTACACATGATTTCGGTAGTAAAATACGAGTGTAATGAAACTAACAAACAATTTTGAGACACTATTCTGAGACTTCATTCTGAGACTTCATTCTGAGACTTCATTCTGAGACTTCATTCTGAGACACTATTCTGAGGCACCATTCTGAGACTGCATTTTGAGACATCATTCCGGGTCTTTCTGTAATATTTTGCAGGTTCTGAGAATGGTCTATCTATAACATTAAATATAGAAGATTATGAATATATGCCGGGACCAAACGACGCCTCTGGTATCAAGCTGCTGGTACATGATGTTCAACAGTTCCCTAAAGTTCATGAACTCGGAATAGCTTTAAGTGCTGGACTCGAGTCTTTTGTTGGTCTGGAATTTTTATCTGTAAGTATCATCAACAAGAGGGCCGACTTTCAGAAGCACTGGCATGGCATTCTGTAAGTCCTAATGAAAACCAGGATTTTTTGGCACTTTTGCGCATTTTTCCAAAGTGCTCTGATTCCACGTCCATACATATTGGGGGACTAGCAAGGAAGCGCTGGGTCAGAAAACCGGGCTTTATCGATTTTACAGACCCAAATAACTCCATTTCAATCAGGATCGATAATTCCATTCCATTTCAATCAGGACCGATAACTCCATTTCAATCAGGATCGATAACTCCATTTCAATCAGGACCGATAACTCCATTTCAATCAGGACCGATAACTCCATTTCAATCAGGATCCATAACTCCATTTCAATTCACTATACAAGCTCAAGTGTCACACAGAGGGTCATAGAGGGTCGTGGTGACCAAGTGATTTGGAAATATTTCCCTGCATTAGTCCAATCAGGTGTTGACAAGTAAAATATTGAGCCCATTTCAAGTCACTCCAATCTCTCTAGTGTCACATCGGGGTCGTGGTGCCTCAGTGGATTTCCAACATATAAACCTGTGTCGTGTTGCGAAACTTCATTAGCCCATTCAAGTGTAGACGAGTAGCACATTAAACTTCATTTCAATGCATTCTCTCCTGTTTCTAATGTAATTTCGGTAATGATTATTAAGTTTTTCAACATAGAACCATTCATGATATCGTAGAGTTTGGTAGCAGATTGTTTGCATTGTCAGTGTTGCTGGAAGTTGCAGATAAACAAATTATTGATTTTATTCAAGTGATTTATTTAACACAGTTTTTAACAAATAATTCATAATTCATTTTATTTAACAATTATCCTTTGATTCTCACTGAAATAGAATCATTTTTCAGTAATCGGTAATCTGTAATTTGATAGATATGTTGCGACATGAATATAGTTGCAGGGTGCCAACGAAACTTCCACAGACAAACGTTTGGAATGGGAATGACTCCTGCCAATCGAACTGTCGTTAAATTAATCCAATCAGAAACAATCCCGTCTCTTCTACCCTTCTTTTCTTTCATTTTTCTATTATCCATCTATCCATTAACCAACCGACTCATTCACCCTTCTTTCTTTCTATCGTCAATCCATTCGCCCCACCCGTCCCCCCCTCCCATCCCATATCCTATCCCATATCCCATATCATATCCCATATCCTAGCCCATACCCATACCCCATACCCCATACCCTATATCCTATATCCTATCTCATACCTCATATCTCATATCCTATATCCTATATCCTATATCCTATATCCTATATCCTATATCCAATCCCATATCCCATATCCCATATCATATCCCATATCCCATATCCCATATCCCTTATTCCTATCCATATCCCATATCATATCCCATATACTATCCCATATACCATCCCTTATCCCTTATCCCATATCCCATATCCCATATCCCATATCCCATCCCATCCCATCTGATAAATATTTTGTGTATTTTAGGTAAGCAATCTTCCCAAGCCTCATGGACACTGTGAGAATATGAAATTGAAGTATTTTGAAGTTTATTCCCCGGACAACTGTCAGATAGAATGCCTAACGGAGTTAACCATCCAAAATTGTGGTTGTAGATTACAGTCCATGCCGTATAACTCAGGTTACTATTTCTGTTTTACGCCAACTTCCGCTATTTTTGTGGAGCAAATAGGGTCGTTATTGAGCAGGGGCATTCGATTTGTACCCTGGGTGTAGCGAAATGTACCCTGGTGCCAATTATTATGTGTACATCTCGAAATGTCGATTTCTGTTCAGGTGATTTGCATATATCGGATGTAGCCTTATGTTAATTATTTCGTTGTGGTATATCAGGGTAGATTTCGAAATCTTGATTTGAACCCTGGTACAAAGTGATGGTCCCTTGCTCGAGAACGACCCTATCAGCCTTTGTGGACGTATAATGTCGAACCCTTGTCTGTCCGTCTGTCGTTAACACTTCTGAATAAACGCTCTAGAATCTAGTGCTCTGAACTCAATTTGAAAAAGCTGACATATCGAGTTCGAATTCAAGCGATTTTCGAATACTAAACCCGATGGTATTAATCCCTGTGATCTCTCGAATTAAAATGCCATAGTTTCTTTAGTTTTTATATGATTTTTTTTATAAAAAGTAAAGTTGAAAATCAAGTTTCGAATTTGAAATTTAACCCTGTGGTCTCGTTTACTGTAAAACCCATACCCCCTTCTGAGTAAGTCGATTTTCATGAATCTCAGTACTGATATCAAGTGATAAAAATCCGTACAAGCAAGACAATTCAGTTAATCAAAAATCCAAAGTATGGACAAATCGGGAGTATAGTAGTGACTGCTCCAAAGTTAAGTACCATCAGATGTTTCAAAAAGAGTAAGCATGGTCTGCTTCGCGCTCGACACCCGCCACTACTACAATGGTAAAAATCATGAGATACAACCAGATCAATTCATGCCTGACATTTAGATTGGTGTTTTATTTTTGATATTAGCATCATAATTGCGTTGTTATTTCTATATGAGATATTTATTATCTGATTGATATAAACCCTCTGGGAGATTAGAGTTTGGCTTTAGAAATTCAAACCTCCCGAGATACCTCCAGATTTTATATAATATATTTAATCATTGTTTTGGGTTTAACAAATTTTTTGTCGTTGCACATATTGAAACAAACAAGAAAGATCCTATTATTTATTTATAAATCTATCGGCTTAGGTTTAGTTTTGTTTAATTGTCACGTTTTTTAGATAATGCCATCGCGTTGATCAAATGATTGTAAAAACTGTACACAAGATATAACATATCATTAGTTATTCATCAACAATTGGTAATTATTCTATGTCAAACTATTACATCGTCTTATACCTTGACTCGTTCCTTTACAATGTCAAGCTATTACAAACTTCACCTTATACATTGACTGCAATAGCCACCTTTCTTATTTCATGGAATACAGCGATTTGATTAGATCGTACACGAGGGAATACAACCAATCAGAACCCTCAAATGGATTTACCTATAGAACCCATCTCTATCAGAGCCTAAAGTTGCGATATGCAAAATTGTCATCATCAAAAACATCGTAAATTATGATAATGATATTATTTATAAAATATATGCCATTTATATCTATGTATCTACTTGGTCATACAGAATTTGTTTTAAAAGGGTTAATTAAAAAATGTTTTGTTCTTTTGCTTTATAATGGCTCGATATTATTAGTTGAAATCTTCAGCATGGGTAGGAGACATATTTCTCTATAATATAATGTTTATTTTACTCAAATCCGTACAGTAGTTTTCTTACACCTTCCAAAAACATAACGAACTTGAAAAAGTTTATAAAATGTTTAAGCGTTAAAAAAAACTTAGTTAAAATTTTCAGATATCCTAAGGGACACATTTCTCTAGATGTTTGTGTATAGTTTTGATAAATTTAAGGAAAAGAATTTTCTACCCAAAAAATGAAACAAATGCACCTTTAAGTTAGAGAAATTCCTGTTTACATCAGACTATAGAAAACATGTAAACATAGATTTTTTCTCTCTAGTTACCACTCCAATAGCATGTTGATATAACTCCCCTGTAAATTGGTCTAGACTCTAGTAGAAATATGGAATAATTTAATTCTGATTCCCAGTGAGTGGTCTATGTAGACTTTTCTTCTTTCTGACTTCAATAATATCAGTAGTTTATAGACCGTTAGAATAATCCGAATAATAGGCAAATCTGGATGATTCCCAGTCGAATTTAAATTAAACCAAACTTTCCTTCCGTTTTTTATTAACTATTTTTTTAATGTAGCTACTACAGTTAGGGTCTAAAGACTGGCCTCTTGAACAGTCAGTTTGATGTCACCGCCAGCTAATCAAATGTCTGCCCTCTGGGCTTTTGTGACGCGAACGCGTGAAGCAACACCTTTTGATCGCGTCACCAAGCCCCAGCATTAGAAAGGACAGAAATCTGATTGGCTGTCGATGACATCAAACTGACGAATGTTCAAGAGGCCTGTCGTTAGATCTAACTGTAGTAGCTATATCAAAAGCTAATAAAAACGGATCGAAAGTTTGGTCTAATTTTTATTAGACCGAATGATTCTTGTCCTGTTATTCTGTGGTTGATTCTATTTACCCTTCATGATCTGACGACGTTGTTATGCATCTCTTGTTCTGGGTCGTGTTAAATAACATGGGGGTAATCTAACATTTTTAGGGGCATTCTATTGTTTAATTCAGGTTATTTGAATCTCCGACGTGAACAATATTCCCTGTATGAAAAGTTTTATTGGGAAAGGAGGGTAATGTAAGATATCAAGGATCCAGGAAGAGGTAATGGAAAGAAAAAGGTTGAAACCCCCTGGTTTATGATCTTTGAATGGCATTTAGTAAAGGTGTTGGATATAATGAAAAAAATTCTTATGGATTACAATTACTAACTTTATTTGAACGACGTTTCGACCAGTGTTCTCTGGTCTTTATCAAGCAATGAATAATATTACAAAGATTAACAAGCATATATATAGGTAAAGAGAAAACAACATAACAAAACAAAGGATTATATTAATCAATAACATCGTGTATTGAATGAAATATCACCTTACAATGTATGAGAAATTCTGGGATATTTATTGTTGAATATTGTCAGCCTAGTTTAGCCTTGTTTTAGTTGATTGGCATAAATTGTGGCAAAGTTTAATGCTTTTTTCGTGTTGTTGATATCTACTAAAGACAGGCATCTGGGAAAATATATCGTGAACTTCAAACAGATATAAATCTTAGACATTATATTCCAAATTTAAGTTTTAACAGTCAAAACGATTTGACCTAGTAGCAATTTAAAGTTTATTTCCGTAAAAATTTGTTTGGCGATTTACCAAATGGGTGGAAGGTGTATCGTGGCCATTTATTATTACTTTTAAATTGAAATTCTCTGTTTTCATCTCGTTAGATAGATTTAAAAATGAAACTTTTAGGAATTGAGGTAAGATAAAGAACGATAGAATTTGTGTTCATCAGAAGTTAGATTTAAAAAGATTTTATCAAGTAATCTAAGATCTTATAGAATGAAAATGTTTCTCCTGAAATAAACTTTTCTTGTTTTTTTACCATTGAAGCGTATATCAGAAAAATATAAAGGGGCTCTCACACAGCAGTACGGAGCCCCTAAGGCGCAATTTCCATACTTTTATTAATCATTTCGTTTAAATGAAATAATTAATTCGTTTAAACGAAATAATATCATATATTATATCATATAATATCAATAATTATTTCGTTTAATCGAATAACTTATTTCGTTTGAACGAAATATATGACGTTATTTAGTTTAAACGAATTAGTTTTTTCGTTTAAACGAAATACTTATTTCGTTAAAACGAAATATTTTATAAAAGTACAGAAAATTGCGCCTTAGGGGCTCCGTACAATAGCGATCACAAATGGCGTATGATTCTGAATAAGGCTGCTATTACACGTGTACGTGTACTCAAACAGACATTCATGTCAAAGGCGTACGACCGAAGGCCTATTGGCAGAGCAGACTGGTTTGCCCGAAATTTTCTCACGTAATGTTGAAATGTTCTAAACTTGTGACCACTTTGGTTATTTGTAACCATATCTAACTGATAATCGCTATATTGTGAGGGCACGTTTATTCATAAATTAATATATAATGAAAGCTTTATCATTTCTATTATTTCAAAAGTTGATTCCCTAACACAATTTCCCTCATTGTACACTAAATGTAGTTCGATTGATCACTTTAATCAGAAAAAGAATAGTAGGACGTCAAACATCATTTTGTTTCCATTATAGACTCACCACCTGTTTGTTCACTGTACGAGTATTATAACTGTTATCTACCAAGAAAGGGTAATTATTATTATTATCCCACACTAATGCAGCTGTCGGATCATTTGGACTACTTTCGTCCTCCATTGTTGATATCTGACTAGTCTCTGACACCCAGGCGTATTTTGTCTACGAGGATAGAGTCTCCAAGGGAGATAACTAACATCTGTAGAACTATATTTTGTAACGCGGAGGTAAATTCCGCCTAACAATTAAAGGAGGTTTTCTTTCCTCTGCATACGAGGTTGTTGTCAGGCGTAGCGAGAATGGCTTTAATCCCTTAAGCAAGGGAAATAACTCTAGTTATGGTTAATAAAGGGAAGCTAATTCTAGTGAGTCTATATTTGAAAGGGAGATAAATCTAATCATAGTTTAAAGGGAGATAAATCTAGTCATAGTTAAAGGGAGATAATTCCAGTTAAAGTTAATACGTTTGAAATACTTTACTGGAGACTTTGTATGGTATGTCAAATGACAACATAATACCGAAGGATATAGAACTTTGCCATGTAACCAAAGAACGGAATATGTGCCAATGGATGTTCGCCAGTTATGTTTTGTATTTTCTTTTCAGATGAGCTCCTGTTCAAAACACATGACCAATGTTCCTGTTCCGTGGCCTGCTCTTTTAAAATATTCGACCCGACCCTGTCCTACTCCTCGCTGTCTAAAATGGTACAATCTCGACTTCTACATGGAATTGACCTCGACTCCTTGACCCGGAAGTACACCACAGCAAGGGAGATAACTCATCGTTTACAGAGAGATCATGCAGACGAGTTTAAATCTCGACTAGACGCTGTGAAAGACAGATTTTTAAAAGTTAAATCAGTTCTTTTGGAAGATTTAACAAAATATTTGTTGTACCAGCGGAATGCAGTGATTGAAACGTATCGTGATGTACATCAGACTGAAAATGTGACCCGATACCTTCACAAATTTCGTCGGTATATGGTGTCTAAAAATTTCGTACGTGCTGGAGTTGCAATGGCAGAACGGACATTTGATACGGTGACGCAAGACATGCAACAGTTCGTTATTAAAACGGAAGAATTGATGCAAACGATTGGATCTAGTAATACGTCAAATCGTGAAGTTCGCCAGTCGATTTACTTGATTTTATCAAACGAGTTGAAATCGAAGATTATTATGTGTGATAAAGCGCTTCAGAATTATACCCAGTTGTATACAGCGTTTCAGAATGGCACTCCGGTGTTCCGATATTTGTATAATGGGCACAGTCTGATGGACAGGGCGCAGATCGTTCCGTTATCTCTGTTGAGAAATGCTTTAAACTTCACTAGATTGGTTCGTGTACGAACTGCACGATTTAAAAAAGATTTAGAAAGACTTAAAAGTACTCTCGAAGAGATTAAAACTATTGCTTCTGATACATTTTATACTGAGAGTTTCAATAAAACAGCGTATCATCTAGCCAGTGTTCAATATCTCCATAACTGTCGGAACTTTCTTCAGAGTAAGAGTTTGTTCCTGGGAGACGCTGTAAACTGGCCGTTAGATCAGATGACCAAGCAAGAAGACGAATTGAACATTATCAGCAAAGACATCAAAAAATATAAAAACAATATTCTCAGTTCTGTACGGAATTTAGATAAAAGCTTGATAAACGTGGAACAGCTGTTTTTACATAAAATAAACACCGGAATCAAAATGTGTGAATTATATTTGTTGAATGGATCCGTGTTCAAAATAAAAATTGCCGAATTTTCCATCTCGGATGAAATAAAAGATGGCTACAACTCATTATCAGTTTTATTTGACGAGGTGCGAATTCGAGGACAGAATATTTTTGACTATTGGTCAAACTTTTTATCACATTCTAAGAGATTATGGAAGTTGATTCTTGACGATGCTGACATGAAACGATATTATGAATATAAGAATTTGCAGGAATATTTAGTAGATTATGACGACGTTGCTAAGAATTTAACAGAAATTTTCGATTCTTATCGAGATGAGTACGATTTGAGAAAAATTGTCCAGAACAAAGACGATATATTCCTGCGAGAATTAAAAAGTTTGATATCATATATGGAGGATTTTAATGGTTCCCGGGAGATTAATCAAGATTTTGTTAGGTAAGTCACGTGACAATAATCTTCAGATAATTCGATATTATAATCAGCTTTTATGATAGTGACGTCATATAACGCTTAGTTTTAATGGAATTGCAAGAACCACAAACGTGTGACTGAAAGTTCAAGTGTCCTCTATGCACACAAAAATTTCAAAAAGCTTCTTTTCAATTCCCCTCGGGTCATCTTTACGATGTTCAGCTATTACGAACTGTGTCTTATACCTTGACACAGTAGTATCTATTCTTGTATCTTCACAATATCAAGTTATTACGAACTGTGTCTTATACCTTGACACAGTAGTATCTATTCTTGTATCTTCACAATATCAAGTTATTACGAACTGTGTCTTATACCTTGACACAGTAGTATCTATTCTTGTATCTTCACAATATCAAGTTATTACGAACTGTGTCTTATACCTTGATACAGTAGTATCTATTCTTGTATCTTCACAATATCAAGTTATTACGAACTGTGTCTTATACCTTGACACAGTAGTATCTATTCTTGTATCTTCACAATATCAAGCTATTACGAACTGTGTCTTATACCTTGACTGAAATAGCCGCCTTTCTTATATCACATCTTCACAATGTCAAGCTATTACGAACATCGTCTTATACCTTGACTGCAATATTCACCTTTTTAATATCACATCTTCAAAATGTCAAGCTACTACGAACTGCATCTGATACCTTGACTGCAGTAACCACTATTCTTGTATGAAAAAATTGTAGATAACAAGCAGCTATTGAATTGTACAGAGAATGCAACCAATCACAAGATTCAATAGAAAGTCTGTATAGATTAACCATATTAACAGTCTCTGTCGAGGGCTCTGATTGGCTGTATTTGCAAGCGTACAATGCAATCAAATCCCTGCATTCTATGATACAAAAAAGGTGATTTCAGGCAAGGTATTAGAAGCAGTTCGTAATAGCTTGACATTGTGAAGATGCCTCAAAGTAGACCGACACGACCGAGGCTATGTATAAGATAATGACTGAGGCTCTATGTATAGGATAATGATCGAGGCTCTATGTATAGGATAATGACCGAGGCTCTATGTATAGGATAATGACCGAGGCTCTATGTATAAGATAATGACCGAGGCTCTATGTATAGGATAATGACCGAGGCTCTATGTATAGGATAATGACCGAGGCTCTATGTATAGGATAATGATCGAGGCTCTATGTATAGGATAATGACCGAGGCTCTATGTATAGGATAATGACCGAGGCTCTATGTATAGGATAATGACCGAGGCTCTATGTATAGGATAATGATCGAGGCTCTATGTATAGGATAATGACCGAGGCTCTATGTATAGGATAATGACCGAGGCTCTATGTATAGGATAATGAACGAGGCTCTATGTATAGGATAATGACCGAGGCTCTATGTATAGGATAATGACCGAGGCTATATGTACTGGATAATGACCGAGGCTCTATGTATAGGATAATGACTGAGGCTCTATGTATAAGATAATGACCGATATTCTATGTATAAGATAATGACCGAGGCTCTATGTATAAGATAATGACCGAGGCTCTATGTATAGGATAATGACCGAGGATCTATGTATAGGATAATGACCGAGGCTCTATGTATAGGATAATGACCGAGGCTCTATGTATAGAATAATGACCGATACTCTATTTATAAGATAATGATCGAGGCTCTATGTATAAGATAATGATCGAGGCTCTATGTATAAGATAATGATCGAGGCTCTATGTATAGGATAATGACCGAGGCTCTATGTATAGGATAATGACCGAGGCTCTATGTATAGGATAATGACCGAGGCTCTATGTATAAGATAATGACCGAGGCTCTATGTATAGGATAATGACCGAGGCTCTATGTATAGGATAATGACCGAGGCTCTATGTATAGGATAATGACCGAGGCTCTATGTATAGGATATTGACCGAGGCTCTATGTATAAGATAATGACCGAGGCTCTATGTATAAGATAATGACCGAGGCTCTATGTATAGGATAATGACCGAGGCTCTATGTATAAGATAATGACCGAGGCTCTATGTATAGGATAATGACCGCGGCTCTATGTATAAGATAATGACCGAGGCTCTATGTATAGGATAATGACCGAGGCTCTATGTATAAGATAATGACCTAGGCTCTATGTATAGGATAATGACCGATACTCTATGTATAAGATAATGACCGAGGCTCTATGTATAAGATAATGACTGAGGCTCTATGTAAAGGATAATGACCGAGGCTCTATGTATAGGATAATGACCTAGGCTCTATTTATAAGATAATGACCGAGGCTCTATGTATAGGATAATGACCGAGGCTCTATGTATAGGATAATGACCGAGGCTCTATGTATAAGATAATGACTGAGGCTCTATGTATAAGATAATGACCGAGGCTCTATGTATAGGATAATGACCGAGGCTCTATGTATAAGATAATGACCGATACTCTATGTATAGGATATTGGCCGATGCTCTATGTATAAGGTAATGACCGAGGCTCTATGTATAGGATAATGACCGAGGCTCTATGTATAGGATAATGACCGCGGCTCTATTTATAAGATAATGACCGAGGCTCTATGTATAGGATAATAACCGAGGCTCTATGTATAGGATAATGACCGAGGCTCTATGTATAAGATAATGACCGAGCCTCTATGTATAGGATAATGACCGAGACTCTATGTGTAAGATAATGACCGAGGCTCTATGTATAAGATAATGACCGATGCTCTTTGTAGTATAATGACCGAAGACGAGTTTTTGCACGAGTTTGTGGTCACTGACCGATTTATACACCATTTCCAATTTAAATAATTAGTAAAAATGTTGGAGAATCAATTGATGTTATCATCAACCTGCAACAAGAGATAAGCCTCCACAGGTTTATAATGAATTAACCTGCAATAATGCACATCATTAGTGTGTGTATTTTTCTCTCGTATTATAGTTTATTTTAGTTGCTATATGCAATGCGAATTGATATCAAATGTTTAGTTAATGATAATTGGTTGATTATTCATTAAAAGGTTGCCACGAATTTGTTTCATCCACATTTCCAGCACGTGATGCTCGTTCAATTTAAAATAAACTGTTCTCCTACACTAATTGGCCAGACCCCTGACACCTGATTCTTCTATGTTTTGTTGAGTTTTCGTAAGTGAAATGGATTTAGAAGTTAATTTGACAATGAAAAACGAAAGTGAATCGTTAATCTATATTTTCAAATCAATGCTAGGTTTCTGTGACATTATTTTAAATAAAAACCATAATGAATTTTTTTTTATCAAAATACAGTCAATAAACTTTAACAATAGCCGATTATTAATATTATAACACAGCAACCTTTTGTCATTTTTTACGCTTCACCTGTTATTTTTACTATAGTTTGATATTTGCCAGAAACCGGTGTTGAAATCTAACATTGATATTTTCTTTGTTTCGTGAATTTTAATTGTATGACATTTCAATATAGCAATCCTTATAAAACGATTAAAATTTCTTGACTATTTTCTAGAGGAATCGACCTAAAACCTGAACCACATCTCCTTTTTAGACTCGTTTTCAGTGGGGTCTTGTTTTAAACTATTAAGATTTGTTTAATTTATTGCTGAAACTCCCAAAATAATTTATTAAAAGGAAAAATAATTCGGGTTAATTAGAATATTTTCGGGTAATGTCAGTGTGATTCAAATTTAGCATGACAGAATACAAACAACTGTGGCGATTCTATCAATCATTAAGTGAGGAGGGGGGAGGGGGGCTGAGTAATGATAAGTAATTATCAACATTTTTCCTGGAAGAGTCCCCCCCCTCACTCCCTCAGTTGCCAACCAATAGAAACGCCACTGGAAGAGAAGTTCAACGTTTCAATGATAACAATTTTTCTTTGTGTCAATATATTACTGTGTTTTTATGTTAAACCTGTAATGTTTAAAGAACTGTTTTATTATACAGTATGATCGTTAACTTTCCTCGTTTAATTAGTTATTACTGATAACTATCATTACAAGTGTTTGATAAAATATCAATATATCAATATAGCTGGTTTTATCACGTTTTATAGACTCTTTAATGGCTTTCCTAATCTCTCATCAAATAATCTACCTGGTTCTTTATTTACAGAAGGAATTTTCTGGTGGTTAATTTATATTATAAAGAATTGAATTACGAACAGATAACACAGCAGAGAGCCTACGATATTATAGCTTTATTGTGTAAGTATTTATACATCGATATTAGATTATTTGAAAAGGAACATCACGATTGTTCAAAACCCACTAAACAACTTAAGTCATTTCCTGGTAGTTTTAATACACATGGGCTGTTAAGATATCTATTTTATTTTATGAATAATAGAATCAACAATCAACTGTAAATATCATAGAATATCATTTCAAAGGTAAAAGAAAGGATAGAAATGTTTTGGGAAAACCGACTTCAGATAACTCTTGAGAAAACCAACATCACCATTGTTCAGAATCCACTAAAATAATTCAATCGTCCCCAGGCAGTTTTAATGTTTGCGCATGGGCCTTTAAGATATTTATTAATTCTGAAATAACACAATCAACAGTAATGTCAAGATGTCATGTCAATGCCAATGTCAATGTCAGTTTAAAAGATCAGAATAAAATATAAATGTTTGGGGAAACTTAGATTGTTCCTATAAGAAAACTAATAAACGTGTAACTCTATGTTTCAAACCAGCAGATTGTCACGTGTTAAATTATTGTTCAGACTAGAAACACAAGCGGATTGATCAATGTTTAGACTATAATGTGACTTCTGAAGTGATCAGTCAATACAAAGATTTTTGGATATAAATCAGTTTCCATTTTTCATTAAATATCCTCTAAGCAATCACCAGAGGATGGATCATCGTTAGAATGGGTTTCCTTATTTTTCAGTGTCAAATAAAGCAAACTTTTTGATTAATTGGTGTTTCCAATGAATTATCATATATTCTTAATCATATCATTATGTTTGTATTGCATCCAATACAGTCTGGATAAACAAGATAAAAGACTTTTTGACCTTTCTTGATCGGCCACTCATCGGAATTCTGCTGGTAATTCTCTTCTAATTTAGCTTATTATGAATTAATTATGGACATGTGATACAAACTGGTATTTTTCCAAGTTATTAGAACACCTCTACTTTCTATTCATATAAGTATTAGCATTTTCATTTTCATAAATGAAAATAAGGGAACCCATCTTTAATCTGTCGTCTGTCAATGCCAATTCACGTGATGTTTTGTTGTTTTTTTTTTTTCATTTTCCATTATACATCATCTAACCAAACATCAGAGGATGGTTCATTGTTAATATATTTTTATAATGGTCCTTTAATTGATATGAGAGAGATGTGAATTACAAAATAAACTCAGATTGTCGAGTTAAATATGAGAACAATATCCTTAAAGGGGCATTATGATTTTTTTTGTAGGTCGAAAATTTCTTTGCTCAATTTTTTAAAACTCTACACCAAAATCTAAACCCTTAACCTTTCTGAAAGTTTAAACTTAAAAAATCAAACCGTTAATTTTAAGCTCATGTTCCGCTTGTTTGTAAAAAGTTTTGATCTACAATTAGGCGTTGATTACATTCAAATCCGTACAGTGGTTTTCTAACAGCTTCCAAAGAGCATAATTAACTTGCAAACCTTACGTAATAATTTTGGCGTTTAAAACTTAACGGTTTAAACTTTCAGATACGCTAAGGAACACATTTCTTGTGTATAGTTTTCATAAATTTGAGCAAAAAACTGTTTTTGATCTACAAAAAAGCGGAATGTCCCTTTAAATAACGAAAAGAAATTTTGAATTCATGGTTTATGATTGATTTTTGTAACTTATAATGAAAATGGTTGATCCATCCTCTCTTTCAGGTGATATTGGTGGGTCTATGGGATTGTTTATCGGAGCTAGTGTTATGACGATGTTTGAAGTAATAGACCTTCTTTCCAACAGCCTGGCTACACGAATGTTAACAGTGAATAAAACACCAACTAAATCAAATATATAAAAAACCATATAAGAAACATTAAAATATTTCTGTATCACTCTACAATTGATATATTGAGCACTATTTTAACAGTTGTATTTCTATATCTCTCTACAATTGATGTATTGAGCACTATTTTAACAGTGGTATTTCTATATCTCTTTACAATTGATGTATTGAGCACTATTTTAACAGTGGTATTTCTATATCACTCTACAATTGATATATTGAGCACTATTTTAACAGTGATATTTCTATATCACTCTACAATTGATATATTGAGTACTATTTTAACAGTGGTATTTCTATATCACTCTATAATTGATGTATTGAGCACTATTTTAACAGTGGTATTTCTATATCTCTCTACAATTGATGTATTGGGCACTATTTTAACAGTGGTATTTCTATATCTCTCTACAATTGATGTATTGAGCACTATTTTAACAGTGGTATTTCTATATCTCTCTACAATTGATGTATTGAGCACTATTTTAACAGTGGTATTTCTATATCTCTCTACATTCGATGTATTGAGCACTATTTTAACAGTGGTATTTCTGTATCACTCTACAATTGATGTATTGAGCATTATTTTAACAGTGGTATTTCTATATTGCTCTATAATTGATGTATTGAACACTATTTGAACAGTGGTATTTCTATATTGCTCTATAATTGATGTATTGAACACTATTTGAACAGTGGTATTTCTATATCTCTCTACAATTGATGTATTGCGTACTATTTTAACAGTGGTATTTCGTTATCGCTCTACAATTGATGTATTAAACACTATTTTAACAGTGGTGTTTCTATTTCACTCCACAATTGATGTATTGAGCACTATTTTAACAGTGGTATTTCTGTATCGTTCTACAATTGATGTATTGAGTACTATTTTAACAGTGGTATTTCTATATCGCTCTATAATTGATGTATTGCGTACTATTTTAAAAGTGGTATTTCTATATCACTCTATAATTGATGTATTGAGCACTATTTTAACAGTGGTATTTCTATATCTCTCTACAATTGATGTATTGGGCACTATTTTAACAATGGTATTTCTATATCTCTCTACAATTGATGTATTGAGCACTATTTTAACAGTGGTATTTCTATATCTCTCTACAATTGATGTATTGAGTACTATTTTAACAGTGGTATTTCTATGTCGCTCTACAATTGATGTACTGAGTACTATTTTAACAGTGGTATTTCTATATCGCTCTGTAATTGATGTATTGAGTACTATTTTAACAGTGGTATTTCTATATCACTCTACAATTGATATATTGAGCACTATTTTAACAGTGATATTTCTATATCACTCTACAATTGATATATTGAGTACTATTTTAACAGTGGTATTTCTATATCACTCTATAATTGATGTATTGAGCACTATTTTAACAGTGGTATTTCTATATCTCTCTACAATTGATGTATTGGGCACTATTTTAACAGTGGTATTTCTATATCTCTCTACAATTGATGTATTGAGCACTATTTTAACAGTGGTATTTCTATATCACTCTACAATTGATATATTGAGCACTATTTTAACAGCAGTATTTTTATATCTCTCTACAATTGATGTATTGACCACTATTTTAACAGTGGTATTTCTATATCACTCTACAATTGATGTATTGAGCACTATTTTAACAGTGGTATTTCTATATCTCTCTACAATTGATGTATTGAGCACTATTTTAACAGTGGTATTTCTATATCACTCTACAATTGATGTACTGAGTACTATTTTAACAGTGGTATTTCTATATCGCTCTACAATTGATGTATTGAGCACTATTCTAACGGTGGTATTTCTATATCACTCTACAATTGATGTATTGAGCACTATTTTAACAGTGGTATTTCTATATCGCTCTACAATTGATGTATTGAGTACTATTTTAACAGTGAACATATTTTAATATTGTATTATACAAAAACCATCATATTGTAAATATAACATCAAATAATAAAATTATTTATTTATTTATTGTTTGTTGATTTTCTTAGAACGATACTTTACTCTTTTGCATCACATATACACTCAGATGGTTGTCTCATCCTACCAAGACAAGTGATCACCACCAGTTATGTTGGCGACATTAAAGGGCTGAAAATCAGGAAATATAACTGTACCCAGTTGAGGAGCCAGGTTTACGTCCGAGAGGGGTGAGATATCTGAGATTGCCCGAATCTCTAACCTAGTTATGAGAGTTTTGCCCGAAAAACTTGCTTTCAGGGCTGCGAGGTGGGTGGGGAGGGCGTCTACCCCCTCTGCCTCCCAGTTCGTTATATTAGAACTTAAATGCCCTCCATCATGTGACAGGTTTGGTTAACGTAATGAAGAACACTCCGACCTTATCATGAACATTGATACGATTATAAGAATGATAATTTCAAGATGAAAGTCTCGGAATAATTCATACACTGAACTTAACTTTCTTGAATTAAGTGACAAATTCGGCAAACGATCTGAAGAATAGTTCTACTTAGACCGAAACATCTGTCTCCATTCCACCCTCTGATAGCTATTTGGACAGATGTCGACTGGTGTAGAGGCAGAAATAATAGACCTTGTTAAATGGGCACATCTCCACAAGTGCGGGGTTTAAAAACCCATTTAGATACCTCAGATCTGCAAAACCCATATTCTCCCTACACCATTTATGACATGTCTCCGGTTCCATAAAAGTTTTTGTAACGAAACTGATCTAGAATCTGTCATTTAAAACTACGTGCGCAGTATTATTAACAAAACGGAAGTTGTGACGATGCCCATACTAATTTACAGTCATCGTAAAGGTAATTTAATATTATGTAAGAAAAAACGCTTCTTCGGATGTATGGAAAAACCCCGATAAACAGGACCTATTTTTCCTACTATTTCGACAACATTCTAGGCTATTATAGGAATGGTATTTTGTAATGAGAGTTTCTTTGTGTAAAATTTACCCGTATTACATTAATGACTCTTTGTACACGATAAACCACAAACTGAACCTTTATATTACCTATGATTTCATGAATGGTGAAACATCGAAATAATTATTTCAGCTTTAAAGTTTCTTTGTGTACAATTCAAGCGTACTGCATTGATAGAACGATAAACCTAAAACTGATGTTTGCTTTGATGTAAGTTAATTCTAATCCCTCGATGGACCAGATTACCAGAGCAACAATATAGGTCTTGATTCAGTTGTATCATTTTTTAGATCAGATTAACCAATCTAACTATTCCTAACTTAGATACCATTCATTCAGGTTATTTAGATATTCTCTCAACTCTTGTATCGGATATTTTCCTTGGTTTCCCTTTGTCAGAATAATAAAAACCCTTTCTGTTTTAATGTATTTAACTAATACCGAATACTTCCTGTTCAAATATTCTCTTTTAAATTCTAACTATTAAAGGTTTGTTCCCTTATTTTCATTCCATTTAGTTTGCGATTTCAGCATCCGCTGGAAGCGAACATTAACTTGTCATCTACCAACAACTACCTAGTCTGTGATATCAGTTAGCTGGAAGAAGACGTTAACTTGTCATCTACCAACAACTACCTAGTGTGTGATATCAGCATCCGCTGGAAGCGAACGTTAACTTGTCATCTACCAACAACTACCTAGTCTGTGATATCAGCATCCGCTAGAAGCGAACGTTAACTTGTCATCTACCAACAGCTACCTAGTCTGTAATATCGGCATCCGCTAGAAGCGAACGTTTACTGTCATCTACCAACAACTACCTAGTCTGTGATATCAGCATCCGCTAGAAGCGAACGTTAACTTGTCCTCTATCAACAATTACCTAGTCTGTGATATCAGCACCTACTGGAAGCAAACGTTAACTTGTCATCTACCAACAGCTACCTAGTCTGTAATATCAGCATCCGCTAGAAGCGAACGTTTACTGTCATCTACCAACAACTATCTAGTCTGTGATATCAGCACCTACTGGAAGCAAACGTTAACTTGTCATCTACCAACCAATTATCATTTATAAAAAAGATGTTCCAATGACTTGGAAAAATACCAGTTTGTCTCACATGTCCATAATTAATTCATAATTAGCTTAATTAGAAGAGAATTACCAGTAGAATTACAATGAGTGACCGACCAAGAAAGGTCAAGAAGTCGTTTATTTTTGTTTATCCAGACTGTACATACATGGACATGTATGATTGGTTAAAACTCTTAATTATATGCAATAATAATGATATGATTAAGAATACATGATTTATTAGAAATACCAATTAATCAAATAGTTTGCTTAATTTGAAAACTGAAAAATAAGGAAACTCATCTTTAAAGCACATGATTAGGGTTAAGTTATGGCAGCATCTGTCAGGGATATAACCAATCTCTAGATTCAATCGACCTGAATGCAAAATCACTGATGATTTTTAGATCATAATTACTTCAACTGGTCCTATGAGATGCTCTCAACAGTGAGCCCCAATCCCTCTCCCCCTCCTATAAGTGCACAATCCAATTTTTTTCTACAACGTTCTTTATCTCAGACAATAGAAGGAGATATCTGACTAATGTAAATGTAACAACAAACTCTAATGAAAAACTAAAACGTGATAATGTTTATAAAAGAAGAATTCTTACAGTTAATAATGTTTATTTGTTCTGTATGATCAGGTGTACAGTGAATGATGAATTCATTAGGTTAAAGGTATCTAGTCGTCTAATTGTTAGCTTTAATAACTTATAGATTATACATCCTTACTATCATTAGAGAACCCTAGTTGAAACGTCACCTGTAATAAATATAGTAATTGTAGTCCATAAAAGTATTTTTTATTTATGCCGATTACCAAATTCAAAGAATATCACTTTATATAATGAAAAATCAAAGCATGGCTGATCGCAATCAGTGTGTGAAAGTCCGATGACCTTAAATAAGTCATCTTTCCTGAATATTCCAGTCAACACAACTGCAAATATGTACGAATAATCCGACCTAGAAAATGAGTAGTTTGTGAAAAGATTTTCTTGATCTTGAATTTATTATCATTGTAAAATTTGTTCCGTCTTGCCTTGTATCTGATAAAACAACATTTAGAAGAGTGCCTGCCTTCAGTTTATTTGGTATTTTTCAATAAAAGAATATACTGATTGTTTTTGTGGAGTTGAAACAACATTATTTTTCTATAATTATAATATAAATACCAGGTCGAATGAAGTTAGGTCGGTTGGAAGGTTTGATAATATCAATCTGATGAGATTTGATGTTGAGGTGATGACTAATACAATAGCTACTAATTATAATTTGTTTTACGTGTTTACTCTCAATTTTGAAATTTAATGTTTTTTTTATTCACCTTTACTGATTAAGTGTAGAGAAACCCGAGATACCATTGAGTTCTTAAAAAGCCTGGTCCTATTGCCACGCCACTGATTATAGTCTTTTAAAAATTCGACTTATTGTGTCAAATGGCTGTGAAGTACGTTCATGAGTGTTATTTCCATGTAACAACCATGCTTAATCTGATTCGTATATACTTATTCCTGGGAAATTGGTACGTTATACGAAAACTACAAATAAAAAATAATTAGGTGTGCAATTCTGACAAACTTAACAATGTTTTGGATGCTGCCCCCTCGGAACCCCCCCGCCCTTTGGCTCCGCCATAGGAAACATTAGTTGAAGGGTACAAAATTTAAAAAAGCTGGGCCAGCCTCGCTCCTTAGATACGCCAATTTCTGTCACATATTGTGTGTAACATATTTTTCTTCTTGCATTTAGGCTGATTTGTTTGGTCAGACATAAATTGATCTGATTGTATCTCATGATGTTGACCTATATAGAAGTGGCATGTGTCTCGTTAGAAGCAGACCATGCTTACTCTTTTCCAAACACCTGATGGTACTTCTCTTTGGAGGAGTCCACTACTATACAACTTATACTCCCGATTTTGCCATTTTATGGACGAGATTTTGATGGACGGAATTGTCTTGCTTGTACGAATTTGTATTTCAATTAGGCCCTCGGGTACTATCAGCAAATAACAAAAGTGAAATAATACCAAGTATCACAGAAAACTCTTCAAGAAAACAATTCAGTTCATTTAATTTCATTTCCACACTCTTCCGTCTATTATATCGTATAAAAAGGTTCTCTGTAGATTTATCACTTACACAAAACGTACAGACAGGGGGAACGGAACACTATTACATTTAAATCAATATCATTAATAACATTTATAAATACTCTAATCTTCATACTTCAATCTAACTTATAGCCAGGTCTGTGTTGAATCGTAAAACAACCTTTCTTTGACTTTGAAAACTATAGGTTAAAAAGGTTCTCTCTGTACATTTGTCACATGCCAATCTTGTCTTCCGGAAGTGACCTTATTTACCGGAAGTGACAATTACAGACAAGATGGGATAACGACCGGAAATGAAATTAAAGCTACATGTATTCTGATATTTTTATTTATTTCATCTTGTTTAATGCTAAACTTCAATTCATGTTTAAATTTTTTTTCAAATTTAATGTTAGAAAATGATAATATATTTATAATCACCATTTTAACATCATATCGTTATCTCGTTATGTTGATAGTTTCATAAATAATTTTGTGACATTCTAATGTACTTTCTGAATATTAAACGGAATGTCAAGCTATTAAAAACTTCGTCTTAAATCATGACTTATCTTCACAAAGTCGAACCATTATTAACTTCGTCTTATACCTTGACTCATCTACACAATATCAATCCACTCGTCTTGTACCCTTCATTGGGCTCTTTGCTTGTACTACAGACGTTCGTAAATGCAATGATTTTATTGGATTGTACGCTAGCAAATATAGTCAATCAGAGTCGTCGACGCGAAGGCCGTAAACATCAAGCCATAATATTCAAAATCTATTGTGGTCTATTGTAGTCAAGGTATAAGGTGAACTACTTCAGTAACGATGACGTTTTTAATCAACAACTTTTCTCTAGAATTGAAACCTGAAGCAGTTTCCACGGCAACAAATTCAATATAATTTGTGTTTTAATTTAAAGGGATATTGTACGTCACTAATCCCACAAAAATCAGCGCAATAACGATAATGGTACAACACATATTGAGTCAATAATTCGCAGGAACATCGTCAATTAGTCATTCCGTAATTGTTATATATATATATATATATCTGTGGTCATTTTGTATTTATTTCACTATACAACTGTTATAGTTATATTAGTACTATTATAGTTCCATGATTTCACAATGGTTTCAATGCTGTAGGTAGGCTATAACCAAAATAACTCACACCTGGGGCCATGAATAGTCAGAAGTCAAACATTCTATCAGAACATTTCTGGCTGGCTCACATCTGTCAGGTACTTCTAGTAGTTAGTGTGTTTTCTTTTCACTACGTTTTTGTTTTGATCTTCCTATGTGGTGCTACGCAGGGTATATCTAATACCTGATACAATTTTTCATTATGAAATACTAACTCACTTATAACTGATATACTTCCTCATTTATTATTGATATACCTCCTCATTTGAGAAGGTCATTGGCTGCTACCAATATATTGCTAAAATGTTATTTTGGATTTTGGGTTTCGTTTTTTTCTCGGATCGTGAGTTCTTGGTCTATATATTCTACATTATTGAAAGGTCTTAACATCGAGAAAAACCAAGTGAACTGTGTTACTACACCATCACACAAAAATGTTAGTTTTCAAAATCCGTGTAAGTTTAACAACTTTAAAGTAGAACTGTCTATAATTATACGACCCAAGATTTCTTCTACTTAATAATTCATCAGCATCTCCTTTTAATATTTCTTGATCACTGATTATTTATCAATTTGGAGCAATCTTTGTGAGTTGTTCCAGGGAATAAGTTGTGATACGTAACTTTATCTCAGGATAACTGACAAGTTTTATTAGCAATGAAATCATTAACACCTTCTTATAATATTTCAAATCATCATTTTGAAGCATCTGTGATGAGTTGTAGATAAGTAATGATACACAACGGGTATCAGAGATCACTGTAGACTAGACTTTATTGACTCTCTGTAAGATCTGCTGGATAATCAAGTCTAGTAGTTCAAACACAGTTAAAACGCTGGCACCAACAAACAATCCCATAGATCCTCCAAAATCACCTGAAAATATCAAAATACATATATTTCTTAAACAATAACAAAATCACAAGATATTACACGCATATTAAAGGAATTACACATAAAATATTGAAAATCTACAATTTGGTCGTTCATGCCTGTCGTTTCACTTTTAGAGCAACAGTGTTTCCCGTGAAAGATATCCTCCATCTTGTAAATCTCAGTGGCAGCACAAAATTTAAGCAAAAACACAGTAAAGTGAGCAGTGGCGGCGCCTTGCTCCAAGGACTGGGGGTGCAAATATTGGGAAGACTGACTGTATGAGGCAACTCTGTGTAGGCGTCTTGTTGCAAGCCTCTAGTGGAGTGTCTAACAGAGTTCTCCCGAGAAATTATTCAAAAACTTGAATTGATTTGGTTCATTCCGACATATGTTGGGAAAAAACGCCTAAAGATCATATTTTTTAAATTTGTTAAAAATACAGTGGTGGTACAATTGGGGAGCAAACCATTTTACTAGGGGGATAATCTCCCCTCTGTACCCCCATTAGGTCCGCTACTGATTGTAAGGAATGACAACTAAGAAAATGTTGACTATACTTACAAAAAAATAATAACTAGACTTACAAAATAATAACTATACTTACAAAATAATAACTATACTTACAAAATAATAACTATACTTACAAAATAATAACTATACTTACAAAATAATAACTATACTTACAAAATAATAACTAGACTTACAAAATAATAACTAGACTTACAAAATAAGGCAAAATTATCATAAGCTCTCTGTTGTGTTATTTCTTCATAACTTTTCTCTCGATAGAAAATATCTAACTGTAGAAAATTCTCTCTGAAAAGACACAAAATAATCAACTGTTAGCTCGGGAATAATACAGAACCTTTCAAACTATGATCTGGTCTAAATCCTAAATTATCTGGAAAAAAACCTTTCTTCAGTCGTAGACTGGTTAGAAACTATAGTAAGAAACTATTGATAACTAAAGTTGGAGATTTGTAATCGACTGACAAGTTTTTATCTCTTTAAAACCGGAAACTGATGAGGAACTAATGGCTGAAACTAATTAAAATGTGGTTCTCAGTAAAATGAAGGTAAAGCTCTCCTCACAAATATCAGAAAAAATCAGAAAGTGTAAAAATTCGAAGAATTATAGAGAAATTGTTGGCAATGATCAGTCAGTGAATAATTTGTTAACTCTAACTAAGTATCAGGTGACTAGAAAATTGCCGAATTTTATTTATAACCAAAGTGGTGGAAATGGTCATAATGTAAGTTTCCAGCCCAATATATCAGATATTAATCTTCAGTGATTAGATTATAGATCTATTGTTTATTGGTTGATACAGGTAAAGCTACAAAATATAAAATGAATACATCCTTTTAAAAGAATCACAATTCATTGAAATCTTGTCTGAAACTCCGTTATGTTCACTTTGACCTAGATAAGAGAGATAAGATGACTCGATGTGTTAAGATAAATATTTTACTAGAATCAATAAACAGTAGAATATCATCTTGATCTAGATTCTAGTTAGTTGTTTATGTATTCATGCGAGAAAACATATTTATCTTCTGTAGGAATCAATTTGACAAACGGGACACCTGGCTCCACCTGTATTTACTATATTAATAAAGTTTTCAAGTACTTTACAATATTCTATTAGAATCTATTCCAGTCTGAAATCATTGCCAAATCTTGAAATGTAACATAAACTACAAACACCTGCTATAGCAATTACACAAACAAATCTTAACCAATCCAATCGCAAGGAGAAAACGGATATGTACCTATCAAAATTACTCATGGTAAAAGCGTCTAGTCGTTCCGATGGGACAATAAACACGTTAAAGGTCCCTCGACAGTTGGAAATCGAAAGAGAGCAGGCTAATGCCGCTGTCCTGGCAAAATTTGTCCTCATTGCAACCTGCATGGTGTGGCCCGTCTTCACTAGCCCACATGGTGCAGAAAAGTAGGAAAAGTAGGACGTAAAACTCCATTCCTACTCAAATTACTAACTATAATGTTTTGTTCGCTTGAAATATCGAGATGGTGCTTCCTCTTAGGTCCGCGTCACCATTGTTATTCCATAACAAAGTTGATTGTCGTTGTCTAAGTGATTAGATGCCACGGGGTTGACTACTTCTAGTCCTCAAGGATGCTACGACCAGTGCTTCTTGTAGTCCAGTGTCCATCCTATTTAAAGCTTGAAGCAAAGACCTTCCGTCCTTTAAAGATTATCTTTGAAGGATTTTTTATGTTAAATAAGAAAAACTGTCATCCATTGCCGACAAAAGTGTCTTTGAAAATAGTTATGTTTAGAAGGTAATACGCAAGAATGATACGAGGTGCCCTCTGTACAGAGTCTCAACTTCGTGCCCAATCAATTACGATGATTTCGAGAATTGCTTAGAAATTCAACATCGAGCAGAGTACAGAGGGCACTGGAATAGAAATTTTTTTGAAACTATATAACCAGCTAGGTTTAGCATCAAAACTTTTTCCTCTTACTAGATTGTGCTGACATTTAGGTCCGCGCTAATCATAATATAGTTTGAAAGGGGCGTTCCGCATTTTGCTCAAATTTATGATAACTATACACCAAAATCCAGCCATACTCTTTTCAACGCGACGTCTCCTACTTATTCTCAAGATTTGAAAACATATCGACATATCATTTCGACATCAAAACACCTGTATTTATTATATTAAGACAGTTTTCAAGTATTTTACAATCTTTTCAAGTAGAATTTATTCTTTACAAGATCCCATAAACCTATTACAGCAATTAAACAGCACTAGAAAACAAGTTAAACACATATGTTTGTGCCTACACACCTTCAACATAGAAAACTGCAAATCACAATCCAGGGTAAAATTCCTAATGATAAATAGAAAACCGACACGTGCCTTTTCTTTCTTACCCTCAACAACACCAATTAAAACTGACATAATTAAATATCTTTACAAAAACTTGAAATAATGAAAGAAGCAAGAATTTGTCAGCGCCATAGAGAAGAATTTACTGGATTATAGGCGCCTTAAAAATATATTATTATTATTATTATTAATTAGTATTCTTGTCCTTGGCTAGAAATATACGGGTGGCCATACAGACCTTGTATTTAAATATCAAAATGATGCTTACTCCTAGGTCCGTGTATAGTAATATAGTTTCGCGTTAAACAAGTGTAATAACCTAGTCGGTAGCGAGTTGGATTGTCTTTTGCTCCATAATTAGGTGCCATAAGTTTGATTCCTTCTCAAGGTAAGAAAAACGTTACGCCACTGCCGGTGCTTTCGACCCGATGTCAGCTTCCAATCTCTACCACAAAAGCAAAAGTATTTTTGATATACTGACATCATTCATATTCACCAAATTAAAATAAAAGCTATTAATTAGATCGTTGACAAGGCTTCAATTCTCGGTCGGGAGCAACCAATTTTTAATTTAAGAATTAATGGTTTACGTCAAACACCAATTTTCACACAGCTTGTTAGTTTAATGGTATTTTAGTCAGTAAAATAATTTGTTAAAGTCTGCTGTAGATATTAAAATCTGGAGTAATTCTAGAAAAGAAAGATAAACTATAAATCTAGTAGGTTTATTACATCTGATATTGAGATGGTTTCTAGTTTGTAAGACCGGTGTTAGTATATTGGAGTGGTTATTATTCTGTGTCTATTTCAAGTAGAAAATGGAATGAAATGAATGGAGCTTTACTTCATTTGGCTAATGAAGACGGTCAACGCCATGCAGGGTGCAATGAGGGAGATTTTGCCATGACAGCGGCATAAGACTACTCTTTATCGGCTTCCGACTGTCGAGGGTATTGTAAGTCGAAGATATCCTAGTTAGAATTTCATACTTTCCAATGGGCTATATGAATTCTTAGTCCATTAGAATTCATCTATTAATATAACCTGTAAGGTTTACTAAAACCTTTCAGGTGTTTTCTGCATTTAAATCTTGATTGTGCTTACTCTTAGGTCCGCGCTCGTCGTAACTTAGTTTCGATGATTAAACTTATGTATTTGTTTCTGTTTTTTGTCAATCAACTTCGCGTTTTGATTGAAACCTACACAAATTAACCGAACAACCGAATGTAAGTCATTCAATTTGCAAATAAAAAATAAATAGCTGCCAGAAGTTCAGACTATGATTAAATTATAAATGAGTTTATTATCCGGGTAGAAATTGTCTTCTACCTGATACTTGTATTTATAGCCCAATACCAGCTGTAATAAATCTCTGATTATTTGGTTTACTGACAGTTTTATTTGAATAGTCTGTGAATTTCTCAGTTTTTCCGAGTGCAATGAGTTTGTCAATAAAATATACAGCATGTTGAGGAGTCACTGTAAACATTTCTAGGGCGTTATTGGCATATTCATTGACAATAATGACCGATCATTTCATTATGTTGTTAATATATTCACACGAGAAAATTGATAATGGTTTGAACGATAGTCTAACCTGTAATTCCTATGACAGGTTTTGGCTAATTAATGGAAAACGATTGAGTTTAATTCTTAAAAGCACCGCGAATTGTTAAAATGGGTCTCCTTCTAATGGTAAATCAAATATCTTGACAGCCCTATACCCTTGTATTTAAACATCATATAATGAAATTAAGTTTGGGCTAATGAAACAAGATGATTGAGAACTGGGAGAAAACCACGAATCGCATGGATGTCTCGTTTACAAATGGAACATTAGCATCAAGACCGTACAGAATGTTAACTGGATGACTAATTAGTGGACTAATCTAATTACAATTAACAGGGTCAAGGGTCAACTGTTCAGCCTTTCTGTTATCAGTATATCAGTCTGTATGTAGACTAATACTATTATTAACCTAGTCTGTATGGGCCAATGCGGCCAAAACTAAATCATACCGATTTTTTCACAATCGTATCTGGACTCATCAAAGTTCCTCAACTGTCATCTCTTGCTCTTGAAATCAACCCTACATCTTTAAAGAAATTAGGGTAAGTTTAGAGCTTCGTATTGTCCTGTATTAAGTATTCAGTGCTGGTCCACTTGATAATAAGAACACCAGGACAATTCTAATCACGTTCTGATACGTGAACGTTCTGATCAGTGAACGTCAAAATCGTAGACAGAACTAGTTTAAACTTGTCAATACCAAGTACAAGACAATTCTCTTCACGTATTCATATTTTAAGTCTACGTGTTACTGAATTATTGTAGAAATCCACCATTACATACATCAGTAAAAAGTTTTTGCTCCTTACGAAAAATATGAATTTTTCTAATTACTAACAAATATTGCTTATGCCTAGTTCACACCAACGGCGAATGCAGCGCTTTAAATCGGCGAGCAAAGCGCCATCATTTTTTGTTTACTTTTCCAAAAATATCACGATCTCCTAAGTAATGTTACGATCTGATAAGCTCTGATACGAATTGGTTACACTTTGGGGACGAATTTTTTCCCGATTTGATCAGGCCTTGTTAGGCTTTAAATCACGCTTTGATAAGCTTTATTAAGCTTTGATGCGGTTATGACGCTTTAAATCACGCTCTGATACGATTATCAAGCTCTGTTGTGCATTGTTAAGCTCTGTTACGCATTGGAAAATTTCGAAATGGCCGATTTCATGCCGCTTTTGATCAAGTGGTGACAGACCGTGAAGACTGGGGCCCCCGCTTTGAATAAAGCTCTGTTAAGCTTTCCTACGCTTTGAGTCAAGCTTTGCTGAACTTTGTTACGCTTTGTTAAGCTTTGATACATTCTCGGCGCTTTAATCAATTCGTGACAGAGCGCCCAAAATTTGTAAACAGTTTAAAATTTTTTGGCGCTCTTGCCGAATATCCAGCTTTGCTCAAAGCTTTCCAACGATCTATTACGACCCTGGCGCTTTAGTCGAGCTTTGTTACGCTTTGGTACCGCTTTGAACGCCGCTTCAAAGCGCGATCAAAGCGCCGTTGGTGTGAACTGAGCATTACTCTTGTACCGAATTTAAATAATATTTTCGATCATTAAAGGGAAATATACGATTGCTTACGAAATCTATACGAGACATAACGAATACTTTCGACTCTTCTATCGGAAATCAGTGAAAATATTCTATAAGAATCTTACCTGATGAAAGTAGAGTCTATTTTATCACCATCAATATAAGTTTTTAAATACACCATAAAATCGTCCAGACTTTTTAAAAACACGCTGTCACTGTTCCCGACCGGCACTCGGAAATCATTGATCATTGATATATTGGAATATAATCTCTCCGTCTCGTTCCGGACATCTCCGGAATTTCTTAAATAATCCGACATATTTTTATATTGATAATAACTAACCATGTCTTCATCATAAATCACCGCATCCCAGATTGATGACGTCATTTTAGATAGGGATGCCCAGCTGTCAAAAACACTCTGTCCACGTGATCGAATATTTTGAAAAAACACTTTAAAGTTGGATATTCCTTCATATACTTTGTCACTGGTCATCTCTTCAGCTACCTCCATCTTGGACAGGTTTCCATACTGGAAGAAATGCGACGCAAGAGACAAACCGATTTCAAGCTCCTGAAAAAGCGAGGATTTCAGTTCTTCTAACGATTGTCGTAAAACGTACAGATCTTGACGCATGGAGTTGACAGTATTTTCATATTGGCGCCATAACACTTTAAAATCTGCTATTCTTTGCTCGAGAATTCGTTTCGGATAATCAACAGATTCGTAATAAAACGTACTTTTACTGTGAAAAAGGCGGCGGCCTGAATATATGAACATAACGCCTGCCAAATGTAGCTCCGTCTCGTTTAACGTATTGTTGAAATAGGCCCATTGTAATATCTGGGAAAGGTTTTGCAACTTTTGTTTAAAGAGATTAATATCGTCTCCGACTCGCGAGGAATATTTGGAAGAATATGAACTATGGTTTAAAGATTTGGCTAAAAGTGGTTTTGGATTGATATAATAATTATTGTCTCTGTGTTCACTTTCGAATTTATAACGAAATACGGCGTTACCGGTCAGATACGAATCGTAAAGTTGGGTATAGTTATTAAAGGCCCGCTCTGCAAGGTCAATACGACCATTTAACTGATTTAAAGTCAATAAATACAAGATTTGACGTGTTTGAGGATCCTGATACTCAGGGTCCATGATCTGACGAATTTTGGTCTCTATTTGATACACATATTCTTGGAAACCTAATGCTAGAAAGTTGAACGTTCGTTCTTCCATGGCGTCCCGAACTCGCATGAAGTTTTTCTCAATCATGTAAAGCTGAAAACGGTACAAAAAATCTTTTTGTGTTAAAACTATTGTTGTCTGATTGGACAAATCGTCAATGGCGTCTGTTTGCTGCTGAATTCTGGCATCCACCTCCATAAACATTACTCTCTTTAATTCTGATAATTTCTTTGACACGTCTTGTTCCAAGTCCTGGAATTTGCCAAATTTAAATCGATCCATTTTACTCGTAACTTCTCTGGCATTGAAATATTTTTGCTGGAATAGAAAATAGAAATAGAAATAAAAAGTAATCAAGGAACTGGTTACAGTCTAGATTTTCTTTATAGAAGTCGACAGTATTCTGACAAGGTTGAATGTTTATTGAATGAATTTCACAGATTTGATGGTGGCTGTTCAATTATGAACTTTTCAGAAACTGACAAGTGGAAAGAACGAACTGCTCGGCTCGGCGTCTAAGATACAGGTCATGCCATTCTTGGGTCATGACGCTTTAATGGGAATATAAGGGAACCGACGTTTCTGAGAGAAAAAAATTGATATGGAGTTCAGAATGAATGTCTATGTATGAATTAAGAGCACTGAAGGTCGCATCAAATGCAAATTTACCAGGTGTTAGATCTAAACTTTTTGAGAATCAATCCAACTTTATTCATTGTTAGATTTTGGTTATATTTTCATACTTAAAACTGAAAATCGTGTTCGTTTTTTCACCTAACAAGAACTTATTAGCGATTAGCATTAACATCAGTGAAAATATTCCAATCAGGTTTCCATTAAATGTCACTTCAATCTCAAATGGAGTTTTATTTCCATTAGATTAAGTTTGTGGTGAATTTGGTTAAATGACTGACAGAGATCTAAACGATTAAATAAATAAAAATAAATAACGGAAATAAGATCGTTAACACAGGCGTGTAAATTACGTATCGCTACGGTGGCTCACATACAAAATATTTCACTTTTTATTTTGAATTAAAAACTTTAATTTTCACCAAGATGATAATTATTTTCATCTAGGTGATAATTCTTCTATTCTTAAATTAAAAACTTGTGATAATTACTGTAATTTTCAATTAAAACATTTTTTTTCTGTATTGTACAAGATGGTCATTTGGACTTGGTTTTGAATCCAAAATTCGCTGACTGATCACCTAGGTAAAAATTAAAGTTTTTAATTCAAAATTACAGGAATCATTACCTAATTTTCATTTCACATAAGTGAAAGTTTTTAATTAAAAATCAATTTTCATCTCGGTAAAAATTATTCTTAAAAAAGTGAAATATATCGAATGTGAGCCACCGTAGATGTCAATCAATTGTAAAATTCTTACCATTAAAATATTAATTCCAAGAATTTCAAGGATATGAGCCAAATGTTAAGCTTCTTATTATATATATTTACCTGTAAGTTAGAGCTGCTTGTAGACGCAAGTAATCTGTCGGTGGCGTAAGTGGAA